AGTGGGAAATTTGGGGCAGTGTGTAAGGCTTTGATCAGTGTGAGGGGATGCACAGAGGGACCCGGGCACCACCCCAGCCCCCTCGCTCTCTCCCTGCCAGGAACCCCATGGGCAGGACGGGGCTGCGAGGCCGCGGGAGGCTGCACTGCTTTGGGCCCAACCATGCCCTGCACCCCGTTGTGACCCGGTGAGCATGTGGGGACAGAGAGGTGTCCTGTTCCAGGACGGGGCTGGGAGGTGGAATGAAAAAGGGGGCACAAAGCCATCTCAGAGAGACTGGGACCCGTCAAAACCCACTGCTGCCCATTCAATGTGGGACCCTGTGCCAGCGTGCTGGGCAGGGTGGAGCTGCGTTTGTCTGCAGTATGACAGGGGCCTTTCTCACAGCTGGAGGAGGAATTTGGATGGGTCCATCATAAGGAAGAGCCTGAAGAAGATGCTGGAAGTTCTAGTGGCCCAGTACCCACTGTCGGATGTCTGGGCTCTGCCTGGGGTAAGAGCTGGTGGAAACCAGCTGGCAGAAGGGTCTGGAGAACTGAGGACCCGCTGGCGGCTGGCTGCCACACAGAAAAGGAAGAAACACAAATGGGTGTCACAGCTCTGTTAGAGGAGGTGTCTCTGCCCCTCCTGCAGAGCATCTGCGTGCAGGTCTGTGATGCCGCAAGTGCTGGGCAAGTGGTGGTCTCAGTACATACCCCCACCCACCCTGACCCACTGTGTCCTGTTTCTCCCACCTCCTTCTACTTCTCCACAGCTTCAGTTGTCACATGTTCTCCATGTGAGCACATTAAGCTGTTGGCATAGCATCCTTTGACAGGGACACCCAGGTGTTAAATCAGGTGAATGCAGACACCTGCTTGGGCACAGCTGAGGACTTCCAGCAGGAAAAGAAGGGAGGGAGACACCACCACTGCTTGCTTCCCCCCACCAGAGCTTGTGACATCTTCTGCAGTCTTGGCAACTGCCCGATGGCCAAGCTGGTGGAAGTGTGGGGCTGGGCTGGGCTGGGCTGATGGCAGGCCCCGTGGCTGACAACTGCTTTGGCACAGGGGTCACTGGAGCCAGGCGAGACGCTGCCGCTGAAGCTCAAGTGGATCCTGCGCCGCGAGTTCTGGCCCCAGTTCCAGACCTTGCTGAAACAAGGCACCGAGGTGGGGGGCACACGGGTGTCTCAGCAGTATGGGGGCATGCAGGCATCACCCCAGTATAAGGGCATACTGGCATCACGGCCATACAGGCACACAGGGACATCACCACAGCACGGAGACATGCGGACTTCATGGTGGCATGGGTGCACACGGGTGTCCCCAGGGTACAGGGGCAGGGTGCATCACCCTCTGGGCTCTGCTCCCAATGGGGGAGGAATGGCTGAGGGAGGTGGAGACATGCCGCTAAGAGCTTTGCATGGTGCAGGGTTCTGAGAGGCAGCCTGGGGACCCCAGGGGTGGGCTGCACACACCAGTGTCTCTGCCTGCTGCGGTTGCTCTCCATGGCTCCAGCTGCAGTGGGAAGAGGGCACTGGTCTCCACTGGGGCAGAGGAGCTGTGGGGAGATGCCCCACTGCCCCCGTGGCATCTCAATACCCTCAGAGAGGTGGTGAAGGCTCTGCTAACGTGGCACTCCCTCCCCATGCACAGATACACAAGGGGTACCTTGATGACCCCCGCAACACTGATAATGCCTGGGTCGAGACAGTTGCCGTCAGCGTGCACTTTGACAACCAGAACGATGTGGAGATGAAGAGACTGAATTCGGTACGGGTCTCTCATCTCCGTGGCTCCTGGACCTGGTTCTCAGAGGGCACGGGTCAGGGGAGCCACATCTCCAGACCCAGATCTTGCTCTCATCAGAAGTGGGCTTCTCCAGCTGCATGCAGCAAAGGAAGAACATGGGGATGAACATGGGGTGGCACTGCAACAGGGTCCCAAAAAGAAAGGGCAGGGGGCTGGGGACTAGAGGTGCTGTTGAGCATGGCTGGCACAGCCCCTTGCCAGCAGCACGTATGTGATGTCTCTGGTCCTCTTCCAGTTCCTTCAGGGCTGTGACCCGGAGCTGTGCATCCGCTGGCAGGTGCTGGACAAGAGGATCCCCCTGCATGCCAACCACAAGGACCTCCTGCACAAGGTCTCAACCCTCCTCGGCGCCTACTACTGAGTCCTCAAGCACAGTCCAGGGCTCCTGCTGCCCCAGACTAGGTTCTGGTTGGGACCTGCAGCTCTACCCCAGTTCACCCGTAACACACAGGCAGCGACAGGAGACTGGGTACTTTGGTTGCCTCCATGAATGAACGTTGCAGGTCTCTGGGAGGAAAACTAGCCCCTTACCACTAGCCTGGGGCAGGGGCTGCCTGGGCAGTGCCTACACAGCATCCTGGTCAGCCAAGCCACCAAGCTCAGCCCCAGCTTGTGTCGTGGTGCTTCCACATCAGCCACAGCACTAGCCCAGGGCTTGGGCCAAGCAGAGCCACAGGGCTGCTCCTGCAAGGTGTTCCCTCTCTTGGCACCCACCTGCTCTTTGCCTTGGTGTGGGCACTGGGGACCTGCCAGCTTCAGCTCCCCCTCCACCCAGGATATCCACGGGCACCTCTGCTCCCCTGCTCCTGCTCTGAGCCCTGACAGCCTCACTGCCACAGCCTGGAGAAGGCTTGGGGTCTTTTGCACCTAAAGGCACTGACTGCCCTGCAAGTCACTCCCGTGGCAGCTGTCCCCATGTCTCTGGTGGCCTCAGACCCAACAACATGGTCCTGAGCTGTGAGCCAGCACTTCTGAAGGTGTGAGCAGGTTTTGGCTTATATACCTGCAGTTTCATAGTTCCGTGCAGGTCCACCGGCCCTGTCCCATACCGCTGTGTGATCCTGCGTGTGTGTGTACACTGTAGCACCATCTTGTAGCTGAACTCCTTCCCTCTGCCTGAGCCAAGGCACCAGCTAAACATCACCTGCCTGCTCACATCCCCTTGTGCACGTGGATGGGAAGGGGCAGCTTGCCAGGCCTGAGGTGCTCCATGCTCTGTGGTCCCTTGGGCAGGGACAGGAAAGAGGACATCAGTGTGCCCATCCCAGACATCTCTGCTCTTAAGGGGTCCTTCACTCCTTTGGTGGAGTCCCCATCCCTGGAGGTGTTTAAGAGTCGGGTTGACACAGCGCTGAGGGATCTGGTGTAGTTGGGAACTGTCAATGTCAGGTTAATGGTGGGACTGGATGATCTTCAAGATCTTTTCCAACTGAGATGATTCTGCGATTCTTGATTCTTTGGTTCACGAACAACAAGGCACAGTGGAGACATCTCTTGACAGCCCAGAACAACCCCATGGTGGCACATTATGCCTGGGACTGCTCAGGGAGGGATTTCAATTCTCCCACTCTCTCCTGGTGGATCAGACACTGGCCAGCCAGGGCTGTTCTTCCCATACTGGTGGCCACCACAGTACAGCTGCAGTTTCACTGAGGCTTGGCAAGGCGGAGGGGGGTGTGTGTGTGTGTCAGACTGGCAATTTAGTCAACCCAGCTCAATAAACCATGTATTAAATAACTAAAGGCTGGTGGTCTGTTGCAGCTATTTAACCAGGGGCCATTCTTGGAGGCCATGCTTGGAGATAATGTCCAACACGAGCCCAGTTGGAGCATTCCCACCCGCAATCTTGTCGCACAAACTCACTTTGCTTGCAGACTCCCCCCCCGCGCCCCGTACTGGCTGCGGAGATGACTTGACACGTTTGGAGTCAGTGTGAGGAGCTGCTGGAAAGCAACGCTGCGTGCCAAGGCGGTGGCAACGGCACCTTCTCCCGTGGCTCCTGGCCTCCAGACCGGCCTCCTCGTGGTCCCCCACCACCATGCTCCGCCGAGAGCCGGCGCAGGGGGGCCACGCCCGGGGCATGGCCGGGGAGGGAAGAGGCGATCGCGCGTTACAGCTTCGAGACCCGCAGCCCCCAACCGCGAGCAGCCTCAGAACAATCGCCGAGACACTCGACTAGAGCACTAAAGGGCTCCCCGCGGCCGCTCGCCCACAGCCCGGGGCAGTGGGGCCAGAGGGATTCCCAGGGCAGTGGGACTGCCCTGGAAGAACCCACAGCCCTGGGCAGGGCCACGGGCAGGTCTGCTGGCAGCAGCCCTCAGGTGTGAGCATCCCCCGGAGGGTACCCTGTGGATGCTCATACCTGAGGGATGCTGGTACTTAAAGGATGCTGTTACCAGGGGGATTTCATTCTCAGAAGGATGCTGAGGGATAACAGCTCGGTACCCAGCTGAGATCACCACGGATAATTTTATTCCCAAGTGAAAGGCTCCCTGGGTCTGCCAGGGTCCCACCCCCCAACTTTCCCCTCCATGGGGATCTCTTCCCCCCAAGCCTGACCAAGGCAGCTGGAGAGGTGTGAGTTGCACCAAAGGCCAGAGGAAAGAAGATCCACCTTGCTTCACCTCCTGCCTTACCCCCAGCATTTTACTGTGACAGTCAGTGGCTCCAGCTCCCGGAGTCAGGCTGTCAAACCATACTCTTTGTTTACTTCAGAAAACAAAGTAACTTCCAAACCCCTGCTTTGGCAAAACCCTTGGAAACGTGACTTGTACCAGCTCATGGACCTGATGGGGAAAGCAAAAGAACTCCACATCTTGTTATTTAAAAACCTGGTGGTGATTAAGCCAGTCTGATGATCCAGGGAGTCTGACTCATCATTTTTTTTTTAACACTCAGCGTTGGTGAGATAGGAATTTACTGCTGCTGCTCTCTGGCAGCAAATCACTGCATCCCATGTGGAAATTGGCAGCAGGCTGGGGCAGAGGCTCGCAGGCCGTGCCTGCCTCGACACCCCCATCTGACATCACCCTTTGCCTGGGTTGTCTGTGCCGAGGTGGGGGCGGGGGGCAAGGTGAGTAGGGGTTTTAATCTCTGCAGCTTTATGTCCAGGTATGATTAATCTTAAACCAAATTAAGCTATCCTGGAAAACATGGTAGCCAGTATCATTCTGCCCTTGTTTTCCAGGCTCCTGAGCCCAATCTCTCACCACTTTGCGAGGGCACATTGCATGAGGTGTAAGTGGCATTCCAGGAAATAACGTTGTGTCCTATTCCACTCCCCCCCCTCCCCACCGCTTTCCTCCAGCCATGGGAGAGGCTTTGCAGGAGCGCAGAGGAGCTGCCCTGCTGCCCGGGAGCTGCTATGGCCTCCAGAGGATTGCCAGCAGCCATGCCGAGCTGACCGGGTGCAAGATGACCCTCACGACCACACCAGCAGCCAGCATCGCCCAGGCTTTCTTTTGCCTCCTGCTGTGCGTCCCCTGGGGCAGCTCCTGCCCCCCAAGCTGCCAGTGCACAGAGCGGGCAGGGGCAAAGGCCGTCCTCTGCAGCTCCCGGCACTTGGAGGAGATCCCCAAGGACATCCCCAGAGACGCAGTGTTCCTCAAGCTGGACGCTAACAGCATCACCAGGATCCCCAGCAATGCCTTCAGGCACCTCTCCCACCTGGAGGAACTTGATCTCTCCAGGAACGCCATCGAGAAGATCGACAGGGCGGCTTTCAAGGGGGTGGCTGCTGGGCTGCGTACCCTCGACCTCTCCAGCAACCGCATCCGCAGCATCCCCAAGGAGGCCCTGCTGGCGCTCAACGCCAAGCTCCGGCTGGCCAACAACCCCTGGCACTGCGAGTGTGCCTTGCAGGAGGTGCTGTGGGAGGCGCGGCTGGACCCCGACTCTGTCCAGGACATCACCTGCCACACGGCCCCGCGCCAGGAGTACGTGGGCAAGCCGCTGCTCCAGGTCCTGGATGCCGGCGTCAACTTCTGCAGCGTGCGTCAGAGGACCACGGATGTGGCCATGTTCATCACCATGTTCGGCTGGTTTGCCATGGTCATCGTCTACGTGATCTGCTATGTCCGGCACAATCGAGAGGACACCTGCAAGCACGTGGATTACCTGAAGTCACTGCCGAGCACCCAGGGCCATGCAGAAACCACCAGCACTGCCCTGTAGTGCAGGATTGGGAAGCCATGTTCCCAGCTTCTTTGCAGCCTGATGGGCTTCAAAGCTTCTCTGTGGTATTTTCCAGTGCTTACTCCAGTCCTGCAAAGAAGTGCCAGTGACTTTGCCCCCTCCCCAGAGATGCTGGACTGAGTGTGCGCAAATGACATGGGGGAGGGGTGCCGGGGACACCCCACGCACGTTTGTCTATGGATCCCCGGTTCCCCAGGAGGAGCCCCCACCACGCAGACCCCTTTTCGCCTGACAGAGCTGGGCTCACAGGGACAGCCGCCCCAGCCACATGCTTAGGGTCCATAGAGTTTGGAGAGAACAAGCCCCTGGGGAGATACAGATGAGGGTGGGGGCTTTTGTAGGGCCAAGAGGTCCCCAGAGCCTGAGGATGGGTTGCTCTGTGCAGTGGGGTCACCCCGTCCTGGCTCTAGTGAGGGACCCACCTTGCCGAGAGCAGAACATCTGCCCCAGCCCATGCACAGCATCCCGGCAGCCTCTGCCTGCCACCAGCAACCAGGGGGTGATTGACCAAACCCTTGATTTCTCAATAAAGCCTCACACATAGGAAAAGCCCTCAGGGTTTGTGCTGCACTGGGAGCTGGGCATCTGGGGAGGAGGGCAGTGGGGCTTGAGGGGGTTGTGCTTGTCCTAATTCAATCTCTCCTAAAGCAGACAAGCCTAAATTCAATGTACCAGCTCGATTCCCATTAGATTACATCCCCTCTACCCTCACCCCAGCCTGCCTTGAGCAGGGGCCGGCTGGCTGAATGGTGCCTCTGCATCTTGTCTGGTACATCTTGCCTTATCTCACCCTTCCTTGGGGCCGAATTAGAGCTGCTTCTCGTGGCTCAGCATGATAAAAACAAATCAAGTTCTGCCTTGTTTAACAAGCAAGAAATGGTGCTTCCTGGCAGAGCCAGCTGCAGCCATGGCTGGGCTGGGGGAAGAAGGGTCTGCAGGGGCTGCCTGCAGCAGCTCTCCTGGGCCTGGACCCTGGGGTGGCTCAGGCTTTGACACACACCCCCAGCCCCTTCTTGGGGGGCTGGCACCTCCTGTGAGGTCCACAGCACAAGGGTGGGTGGCTCAGCCCCACAGGAACCCAAGGGCCAGGGAAGTCTGAGCAATGCTCTGGGCCAGTCAGGAGAGGCAGAGGGTCCCAGGTGGGGGGAGGCAGATGGGCACCCTCATCCCAGCACACCGCTGTGCTCAGGGCCACCTCATCCTTGCGGGCCACCTATGGCCATGGACATGGCTCTGTCTTGCTCAAAGGTGGCATGTTGAGTGGAGGGAAGCCTTTGCCAAAGGCAGAGCTGCCCGGGTACCCGCAGCTTGTGCATGGGATGAAGGCTGGGTGCACACTTTATTAGAGCTCTGGTTAAGCAAAAGAGTCCCCCAGACAAAGGCGAGGAAAAGAAAAGAGGCCACAGTTTCACCTGGAGCACTTTGGAGTCTTTCCCATGCCCACAGTAGCTGGATTGGTCCCAGTGCACAGCAGGTTTGCTCGGGAGTCGCTAACCTCATGCGAAGGGGCGCAAGGACCAGCATTGGTCCTTGTACACATCTAGGGATTTGTTCAATATGCACAAGTCACTCGGTGAGGACGACCAAAGCTGGCCATGGCGGAGCAGGAGGGTGGGCAGGCACCCATAGCAGTGGGATGGGGTGGTGAGGCCACCAAAGATGGACACAATAGGTGATGTGCAATGTTGGACCAGAGTGGTCCTCAGCAGCATTGCAGCCCCATGCACTGGGCAGCCAGGGCCAAGCCCCAAGCCACCTTTTCCCCCAATTTCTCACATCCCATTTCCTCCCTCTGCCTCTGGCTCGGTCTCTTTCTTCCCTGGCTTTGTGAAAGCTCTGGCCACAACCAATGGGTCCCTCCTGGCTGGGGACTGCCAAGCGCCAGGGTCCCAGCGAGCCCAGGGAAGTCCCTGGGCACCAGGCACCTTGGGTAGGACGTGGTGCTGGAACATGGCAGGAGACCTTGCCCAGGAGAAACAGCACCAAAGCAGGGTTGCAGCCCCTTTGCCAGCCCCTGGACAAGGCTGCAGAGAACCCTGGAGCTCCCCTCCTCCTCCTCCCGCCCCTGCAGAGCGCGCAGCCAGCCAGCTTCAGGGCTGATGCATCCCTGGGCGCTGTGATCCATCTTCTCCTCGATGCCCAGCTTGCTCCGATCCTGGCGATGAGCTGAGCATGTCTCAGACATTTCAGGTCGTTTTCAGCTTGAGCACCTTGGAAAGTGGCTCTTTGGCACTGGAGTAGAGGAGGTAGGAGCCCTCAGCAGTGTGAAATGCCTCCCAGTCTCTACAGCCGACAGTGGGGAGGTGGTGAGCCGCTACGAAGCCTTCATAGCCTTGCCACCTGCACAGGGAGGGCAGTTAGCTCTTGAGGCATGTGCTGGACATCTGAAAGGAGGCAGGAAAGCCGAGCCGTGGGGCTGGCATCTCCCAGCTCCCCAATGTGGTTCAGGGTGGGATGAGCCTCACTGGGGCTTCTCATTCCTGCCCAGAAACCTCTCCAGAAACAGAGTAGTCCTGTCTGTTTTCCCTGGGCAGATGAACCCATGCTGGGCTCCCAGCAGGAACAACCCTCAAACCCCTCCCAAACCTGATGTCATCCCACAGCAGTACCTGTAGATAATACTGTTAATGGAGAAGGTGAAGCCATCAAAGGAGTTTGCTACCACCAGAAAAGAGTCATCTCCCACCGAGAAGAACTCCCAGTCCAGGGCACTGGGGATGAAGAAGCAGAGGGGCAGGTAAGGTGGCCTCTCTGTGGCCAGCTGAGGAAGGAGCTGTGTGTCCACAGGGCTGACCCCACCCACCCCAATCTCTGCCACCCTCATGATACACGGAGAACCCTGCTCTACCCAGTTGTTCCTGAAAGGAAATCCACCCTTGCTCTCAAATTCAGGGCCTTCTCCTAGCTCCCCCTGGGATTTGGTGCCAAGGACCTGTCACCCATTGCCCACCCTGGCAGTCTCGGTCCCTGGCAGCATTCAAGCCTGCATGAGCCCTCCGGGAGACCTCTGGGTTGCTCAGGGGAAGGATGTGGACTGAGGGGAGCACCCTGGCTCTGTGCACAGGTAGGTACCTGTATGTGAGGAGGTCCTGAAATTTGACAAACATCTGAGCAGTGATGTTCAGCTCATAGATGGAGGAGTTGATGGCGTAGAAGTTAGAAGGTGCTGGCATCCTGCTATCATAGCTGTGGCTGTTTGCAACAGCCAGGAAGACTCTGTCCCCGATATGAAAGACCTCCCAGTCAGCAGCACCGAATGTCTGTGAGGAAGGAAGCCACATGAGAAGCTGGATGTGAATAAGCCTTTGAAAGCCATGGATACTGCGAGGTGTGGGGGGACCTGCTGGAGGTGCAGTGGGGAAGTTACCCACTCCTAAAACCCTTCAAGGAAAAAATAAATTTTGCTGCATCAGTCCCTGTGGGAGAATCGGGGGGAAACTATCGCTACCCTCACAGAGGACTGAAGATCATCTGTCTCTGTAATTATTCCCTGGCTTGTTTAAACCCAGAGTGGGGACTGAGGAGTAGAGTTTGATCAGTGGCCAAGCCTTACCAGGATAGACTGGAAGAGCTGGAAAGAGCCACTGAGCCAGATATAGATGTGCGAGTAGATCTTAGTGGATGTGCCATTGAACGTGTTAGCCACAGCCAGGAAGGAATACGGCCCGATGGTGAAAAATTCCCAGTCATAGGCTCCAGAAGTAGGGATAGTCTGGTTGGTTTCAAACAACCCTGTCCTGGGGTTCCACCTGTATATGACGCTGTCTATGTTGTGGTTATTCCCTGGGGGAGACAGACAGACAGATGTGCTCTGTGAGGAAAAGGAATACCTGGCTCATGTAAGAAACAAGATCCAGAAACAGGTTTGGCTACACAGATATTTGCCAGCAGGTTGCGAGGCTGTTTGCTAGTGACTGGTTGCTCCCCAAGAAATAGCCAGAGAGACTTTAGAGCCTCCATCCCCATCCAGAGCCTCCACCCCCATCAAATACACTGGCAGCTTGTTCCCAAGCGCTGTGACAGCTTCAGGGCAGCCCCTGGCAGAGAAGGGACAGGAGGGTTGCTGTGCCCCCACACATGCAGCACACCAGAGGCACCATGCCAGAGTCCCAGGGTGGCCAAGCCCTGCTGGCTGTCCCACGGGGAAGCCATGCGTAGTGGGGCCAGTCCTGGCCACGTCCCCGAGCTACAGACATCAGAGGCTGCCATCACCCTTTGCACAAAAGCTTGAAGAGCTGGGAGGGGGCCACAGCTGGACTGCCACCACACTGATGTTTTCTAACACTCCTTTGCTATGTCCCCGTGGTTGGCTCCTGAGTGCTGGAGCTGGCCAGGAATTTCCACGTGCCGACGATCCCCAATGATGACATGAACTCCAGAAAGAGGAAGGGGGTGCCACTGCCCGCAGCCTGCCCTGTGCACTCGGGCTCAGGCCACCAGCACCAAAGCACATATCCCAATCAGCTCCTAGGCTCTGTTCAAGCATCTCGACCTCATGTCTGTGTGGGACCCAGCTGAATTTAAAGCGAAAAACCTTCCTGCACCTTCAGGTCTGGGATGACCCCTCCAGCCAGAGATGTTCTTCTAATAAAGAGCTGGCTTCATCGGGACAGGAGGGGAGTACCACCAGCCCCTTCCCACCCCACACTCACTAAGCGCTGCTGTTCTTGGCTTGGCCCAGCTGGTGTTTCTGGTGGCTGAGCAGCAGCAGGACCACGTGTTAACGGGTTTATGGGCAATCGTCACTGCAGCGGAAGAGACTTTGGCAAGAGGGACTGAAGGGAGAATAGGGTGGCCAAGCAACTTGCCACCAGCTTTAAGCCTGGTGCCAGAGGAGCTGATGGCTCAGGAGCCAGTCCACCAGCGCACCGTCTGAACCTGGAGCATCCTGGAGAGCCAGGGCTGTGGTATCGACCCGTTCATCCCCCATGCCAAGGGGTGCACATCCCCAGCCCAGAATATCTCATGGCCTGGGAGGGGGATGAGACTGGATCACATCTGCAGGGTGCCCAGGGAGGGAGAGAGGGACGTCAGCAGGTTACTGCTCAGCCTCCCTCGGTTTTCTCTGTGCCCACAAGACCAAGGCTCATCCCTGCAAACCCATGCAGCTGCTCTCACCGCCCCACCATGTTAGGTAGCATTGGGAAACAAATTAAAAGAAGCAGAGATTCAGCAAAGACACCATCCTCGCTCCTTGTCCCCCACAGGGAGGGATGTCAGCAATTTCCCCAAGTGCTTTTCTCTCCTAAAATGAGAGGGCCTGTGAGAGTTCAGGCTTCCTGAGGGACACAGTGCCCCAAGCTATGTGCACTGACTCCCCAGCTTTGCCCTTCACTACAGCAGAGGATGCGCAGGGAGCTGCAGTGTTTCCATTGAGCAGGGTGCCTGCAGCAGGGCACTGTGGTCCCCGGCATCACCCCAGGGCAGCCTGCCCCGTCTGAGCCGGGATGGTAGGGAACATAAGGGCTGGGTAGCTGGGTACCTTCTCTGTGGTTGACCACTGCGAGGAAAGTCTCTCCCTCAATGACAAATGCCTCCCAGTCCCTAGCGCTGTGCGTGGTGATCCTCTGGTATGTGATGAATTTCTCTTTCCTGCGGCTCCACTTGTATATTACAGAGAACTCCTGACCCCTCTCATTCTGCTCAAAATTAGCCACTGCTAGGAAGATCTGAAAAATAACAAGCCAGTACATCTTGATTTTCTCCTCTCAACATTTTGTGGACAAGTATGGGCAGGGTGAAGATGGGATGGGTGGGGGATGCGAGGCCAGGGGCTGAGGTGGACGGTGTGGGGCAAGACAGCCCTGGCAGGCAGTGGTCCCTGAGCAGCCTCCAAGCAGCACAGGGCACCTCAGAGTGGGACATGGGGGTCTTTGTGCATGGCAGCAGCAGTGCCCACTGCCCACAGAGCCAGGGCAGGTGCTGCAGCCCCCCGTGCCCCGCCAGCCCCAGGGATGGGGAGCATGGCTGTGCTGCCACACTGGCTGGGGAGGGAGCGGGGTCTCAGCTACCAAACCTTCCTCATGAGGAAGGGTTATTCAGAAGAAAAATCACAGATATCATAATGACGATAATGATTACCTGAGACAAAACATTTTCTAGACCAAGAAAAACCTGCTGCGAGCATTGAGAACAAGCGTGCAGTGGCTGGGATAGCCTTGCACAAGGCAGGGAGCAAATCTGAGCTCATGGAAGTGTGCAGTGTGCCATGCTGGCTTCACTACTCTGCGTGTTTGGTATGGAGTGGCAGAGGTTATCCCCCTGTTTGGGCCACAAAGCAGCACAGAGGTGTGGCCCACAAGTAGAAAACAGTCAGTAGGGGCCACCTCCTGCCCAGTGCAGGACCCTGCCAGTACCAGCCTGGGACTTTGTCCAGCCAAGGCTCAGCCACCCACAAGGACAGAGACCCTCCATCCTCAGTGGAGGCCTGTGCTGGGCCCACACGTTGCTCCTGAGAAGGTGCACCCCCAGTGCTGGGCAGCTCTCCCTGCGAACCCTAGCCCAGGAAGTCCTTTCAGGGCATCTTCAGAAACAGCTTCAGAGGGATGCGGAAGGTCTGCAGCCAACCCCATGACTCAGGAACCTGTGGTCCCTTGTTCTCCATGGCCAGAGGCCACCAGGAGACCCCAACACTGCCCACTGGGGCTCCTCACCCCATCCCAGCAGAGCAGTCCTGGTGCAGTAATGAGGTGCAGACGCCTGCACAGGTGCATCCCACCCACAACGTGTGTGAGGAATCTGGGCTAACTGGAGACATCCACACCGCTGCTGGTGCAGCACCCATCTGGTCATCACCTCCATGCAGAAACGTGCCAAGCGTTGGCAGCTGCACGCAGGGGGGCACCTGCCTCTGTCCCCAGCTGTTCTGAAGCATGAAAGCCAGCCCCAACTAGAAAACCTGCCCCAAGCTGTGCAGGAGAGAGGCCATCCTACCTAGTAAATCTGAGGAAGTTCTCAGTGACAACCTGAGGGCAAACTCAGAGCATGTGCATCTTGGTGAGCACCAACATGGGTGCTTCGCTGAGCAGGAACCACGGGGAGTCAGGACCCGCAGCCTGGTGGTCTTCTCTGCCCACGCAGATGTCACTGCAAGGGGGTGTCGTGGGTCCAGACTAACACTGGGGAGTCTCGAGGTGGTTCCCATCAGCACATAAACCCAACTGAGGGTGTTCCTGTCTCTTGCCCATGAGGGTGCATCTGGGGCTTTGCAGGGCAAGTGCAGCACTGGGGATGGCAGGTGTGTTCCCAGCCCAAAGCCAGCTTTGCAACACAGCTGCATTTCCAGGGCTTGACCAGCTTTTCTGCAGGACACCACCACCAGGCAGGCAACAGCAGATGTGGCCCATTTGTATCCAAAGAGGAGGGCTCTCAGTGACATCAAGCCTGGAGGAAGCGCTTCTGCCCATCCCTTTATACCCTGGAGCACGTGGCTTGTGATGAGGGAGCCCTGCAGCCACCCTGCATGGCATCTGGTGACAAAGCCAGAAGAGGTCATGGCCAGGGGCAGGGGCATGATCCCACCTCTTCTGGGAGCTCTGCATAGAGCCAGCTCTCAGCAGATGTTTGTTCAGCTCGCCCAGGGCTCCTCGCAAAGTGCTAAGTAGCTCCCCAGTGAGAGGAACCAGGCAGATACTCTGCAGAAGTCCCATGGCAGATTGCCCAGGGGAAGAGGGATGGTTCCAAAGTCCTGTGATTTAAAAGTAATAAGGCTTAAAAATGCAGAAGGTTGGATTTGGTGCATCTCAGGAGGGAGCTATGGGCTCCGATGGCTCTCCAAGACCACAGGTATATCTCTGAGATCAGTGTGGGCCTTATGCACGGCAGGATGCCTGCCACAGTCAGAGCTCAGGGAGGGCTTTGCCCTCTGTGCTCCCCCATTAGGAGCTGTGTATCTCCATGACAAGTGCCACAGCCACTGCTTGGGGTGACAGCTGCCTCGCTTCACGGTGCCAGATGGGAACTGCAGCAAAACCTACTTCCCAGGGGGATCAGCCTTTTCATCAGGGTAAGCACACCCAGACCAGGCTTCACTGCAGCTCTGCACAAAAATAAAGGTCATTTTGACCCTGGCACTCACTACATCCGAGGCAGGAACAGGCAGAGCTTGCTAGAAAAGATTGATGGGGGTGGATCCAGCTCCAACAGCTGGCTTTGGAGGATGACTTCGCAGACAGCCTGGAGGTCACCGCAGAAGAGTTCTGAGCACTCTGGACACGCCTATGCTGCTAACATCGGTTGCTGAGAATGGCCTGGGTTGATGTAGTTGTGTCTCAGCAAAATTAGTAAAACTCAAGAGGGCAGCCCACAGGTCAGCTGGCAGTCCCTAGGACAGACCCTTACCAGCTGGATATATGTACCACTGTGACCCCATCAAAGACAGGAGAGAGAAAGATTCACCTCCTAAACCATGGCTGAGACTCAGGGCCTCAGAGGAGACACTAGTGTTGGGAAATTGCAGTTCAATACACTGAAATATGAAGGCACAGAAATAGCCTTCCAGACAGACTTACCTTCTTTCCTATGGTGAAATACTTCCAGGACTGAGCTTGGTAGGTGGGGATGTTCTGGTAGGGCACAAACTTCCCATCAATCCACTTATAGATGGCCGATCCTGGCAGGGTGTACCGGTTGGCAGTGGCTGCAAACAGTCCCACCTTTGGGATGGTGAAGACCTCAACACCCATTGTTTCCGAGTTGGTCTCCAGGTTCTGGTACTCCTCCACGTAGTCCAGCCTTTGTTTCGCTAGGAGAGCACAAAAAAAAAAGGGTGAGGTTAAAACCAGATGACCCTGCCTGGAGAGGTGCCCCATGTTGCATAGCAGAGCTGGCTTCATGGCGCTTGCTGCTCTGTGGAGCTTTGCAGGGGAAAATGAAAGTCCTGGTGTTGCTGGTGGTGAAGGGCCAAAACCTGAGAGGGCGGTAAAAGGTTTGACTCCATCACATCCAGCCCCATCCAACCCTGCCTGTTCTCTGGTGGAGCACAGGGCTGAAAAATGCTCTGCCAGGCAGTCTCCTCTGGGAGGGGGGGAAGAATGATATGCCCATGGATTTCAATTGCCTCTTACAAAGTGGATTGACGTAAGTATCCTAAAGCAAATGAGGAGGAGAGGAACAGACCTACAACGAAAGGGTCTGGGCTGCTGAGACCAGCTGGGTTAACCCGCACCCACCTGCAGCAGCCCCGCACCAGATGTTTTCTCTGGCTGGAATCAGCATGAGCTCTGGAAGAAGTTAGAGAAGACTTAGACAGAGTTAATGCCAGAAATTAGAACAGAGATGCTAAGAGCGGTCCCAACAGCAAACGTGTGGGCACTGGAAGGAACAAATGGCAGGAGAAGGGCTACTGGAAGGGCCAGTGTTGGTGGCACCAAGGGGCGCAGGTCAGCAAGGTTCCCAGCATGAGGTTTCCTTGGCAAAACATGGACACTGTGCCAATCCTGATGACTTCCACATGTAGGGAAGGATGGGGAGTCCAGCCATGCCAGCTTCTGTGGGGAGCAAATGGCTCATCCAAACCCACCACATGGGCACCTGCACAAGAAAAACCCCAGGAGAGGGGGGAAGGATGGCTTGGTTGCAGGCATGCCCCATACTCTACGTCCTCACCTGAGCAGACTGCCTGGAGCAAGTGGGAGACTAACAGTGGGAGAAATCCACTTCATTATCAAATAATGTCCATCCCTCCAGTCTCTAGTTGCTTTGCCACCTTGTTGCTCCAGTGTTGCCCTGCTATTTTCTGCGTGAAGGCCACCAGAGTTGGGACAACATAGGGTTCTGCCTCCATCACCCTCCCATTGCTCCCTCTGGTATCTCTGGCAGCTGATGAGTCTTTCTGCTCCTTCTCGTCCACCCCACAAGCGCTTTGGCATCGGGAGCACCAGTGCCTTTGGGACTCCATGGCAGGGAGCACCCCAGCACCCAAGGCACAGCTCTCCGTGGGGCGAGCTGTCCCACTCAGACAGACCAGGAACTTGCTCCTGACCAGAGGAGCCCCAGGAGGGAAGGGTGACATGGGTAAAGTGGGCAACAGGGGCACTGTGTGAGTGAGCAGGGAGCTGGCACAGAGGCACCTGAACCCAGAGCTCCACTGGCAGTGTTGATGTGGCACTGAGAGCAAAGCAAAGCCTGGCCAAGCAGTGGAGAGGCAGGGGAACATCCCAGCTCCCTCATTCTGCTGTTGCCTGACTTGGTTCCCACCCCAGAGTGCTGTCAAATCCCTGCTCCTCCTCTGCTGCAAGAGCCTCCCTCTGTCTTTGAGAGCATATTGCACACCAGTACCTTCCAGCATGGAAATCCAGGTGCTGCCGTTGCAGAGGTACAGCCCTCGGCGGGAGGCATTGAACCAGAACTGCGCCTTCTCCTGCTTGGTGCAGGGTGGACGGGACCCCAGGGTCACCTTTGTGTCAGTCTCTGGGCACGGAGAGGAGCAAGGCAGGTGCCTCAGCGCACATGATGGAGGAGCAGTGAGGCTCATCCCCGTGCCCATGGAGAGTTGGATGTCCCAGTCCCATCCTGATGATGGGTATGAGGGAACAGAGGAAACGGCATCCCAGCCCCAAGCTGGGCAGTCACCCCAGGGGTTGGCACCCGTGGGGCTACTGGCATGAGCCCAGCACTGCCAAGGGACCCACGCAGAGGCACCCCGGATCTCCAAGGGGGTTTCAGACAGCGATCCCACCCCACACACATGTTGGGAAACAGAGGGTGCTGGGGACACCTTCTTCCCCTCCACTTCTGCTCTGTGCCCAGCCCCATGCAAAGAACCTTCCTCAACAAACGCAGGAGGTGGCCAAGCAAGCCCCCGACACAGGGAGTTACTGACCGTAAGGGTATTTTAGCACTTCGTTGCTTGCTGGCTTTGCAGGGAGATCCTGGAGAACAGTGGGGACAGAGAGCGTTGCTACTTTAAAGTTCATGGCAGTGCATATCCGAGGGGTGGCATCAGCTCCTGGCAGCAGGACGAGCTGCCTCAGCAAGCCCTGGGAAATCGGGAGCAGCAGGATGGAGAGCAAGTCCAGCAAGACCAAGAAATGGAAACCGCAGGTGATTCATGCCCTGGATTTCCCTCCTGACTCCTGCACATTGCCCTCCCTCCTGGACCATGGAAGCCTGCACAGGATTCATGCACCTTAGGATCTGATAAAGGAACAGCTCGTACAAGGGGAGCATTGGCAAGGGGCTCATTAGCTGCAGACAGCTATCACCACCTCTGCTTTTCACACCTGTCAGGATTAGGCACTGCCCTAACTTTTATATCAACGAGGCTGTCCCACCAACTGTCTTTCTGTCACTGCACCTCTGGCAACATCCTCTTAAAACCACATTTGCCCCACAAAGTGGCAGTGGCCAGCACTGCCCCTTGCATGCCCACAGCCGGACAGGGACCAAGCCTGGCAGCGGGAGCCCCAGCCACCTCCACTGCCCTCACCACGGCCTAAGCCCTAACAGCATCAGGGGCTGAGAGGGGGCTGCAGCTCACCCCACGGCCAGCCACAAGCACCCTAAGGCAGCCCCACACTGACAGGGCACCTACCGTGAACACTCCTTTCCTTCTCCTCCTGTTGCCTAGGTAGAAGCTGGCTCTCTTCACTGACAGAGAGGCTGGAAACGGCGTCTCCACCACCCTGCGGACAAGCAGAGAAGAGGCAGGGGACAATTTCATGGCACCTGCTGCTGGATGGAGGAGATGCTGGTGGAGAAGCAGTGCCCTGCCAGGGAGCCGGTGCCCCCATGCAGCCCCCCTGAGCCCTCCCCTCCACCGTCCCCGACCTACACGTCCTTGGGGATGCTGCAGTCCACTGTCAGGGAGAAGGATTGGCCGGAGACAGCCAGGATGAGCGTGTGCCACTGGTTGTCAGAGAGGGAGACGTTGGGGAAGGTGACGCGGGTCTGCCAGCCGCCAGCACGCTCCTGGCTCCAGAAGAGGAAGTGGAGCTTGTCGGAGGCATAGCGCAGCCCCACCAGCACACTGGAGCTCTCCTCTGCCATCAGCGTGAAGACATACTCGTTTCTCTGTGGGAGGGCATGAACTCAAATCTGCATGCTGCAAGCTGCAGGGCTGGGCTGTGCTGGCTCCGTGCCCAGCCAGCAGCACTTACCTTGGCGGGGACACTGAGGACCCTCAGCGTGACGATGATGGAGAACTCCTCGGGGAAGCGGTCGCAGTGGATGAAGAGCCGGGAGGCGGGGAAGCCCAGGGCGCGGGGCCGCGAGGTGGCAAGCTGGAAACCACGCACCCCCTCTACTTGAAACACCCTCATGCCATGGGCCAGCCTGGTGGTGGGAACCACCTCCGAGAGGATGTCCAGTGGGCGCAGGTCTGTGCCAAGAGATGGCGGAGCACGTCACGACAGAGACAGCCATCCCACCCTGTCCCACTGTGGGACGGGGTCCCCACCTTGCAGTGTGGTGCTCTGTCACCCGGCTTGCTCAAGGCAGCCAGCGCTGCCAGAGTGCTCCAACGGCAGCGGCGGGGCCCACAGCCCGCTGTCCCCTTTCCGGGTCTGTGCTCAGCTTCAGGAACACAGGGAAGGTTTGCCCTGCAGGCATCACGGCTGACACCTCCATCCCACAGCAGGAACACCAAGCGTGCAGGCTCACCTGCACGAATGATCCCATTGATGCAGCTCCAAACACCGACCCTGGGGCTGGAACCTGCTGGCTGGGCAGCCCCAGGCTGCCACCAGTTTCCTCAGGATCCACTAGCAACAACAACCAGAGCCAGGAGAACAAGCAAGGACCTGGCACCTGCAGGCTTGCTCGTGGGGCTGCTGCCTGTCCCTGTCCCCAGGGTGGTGGGACACAGCACTCCCCCCTCTAGTCCTGGTCCTGGCTCTCCCAACCCAACCCTAATTGTATACATGCACGTACTCCCCTGGCAGGCACAAAACTGCTCATTAAATAATTATCCTCTCCTCAGAGGAGAAAACAACGTGCCCAGCCCCAGGGCATCACCCAGGTGAAGAGCAGCACTGTGCACCCACACCGCAGTTGTCTCCACCTAACAGTGCCAGGGTCACCGTTGGTCCAACGCCTCGAAAAACCCCATGCCAGCAGCCACAGGAAGGGCTGTGCCCATGGTGGGTGCTTCTCCGACCTTCCCTGCCCCAGCACCCGCACAGGTTTTATTTTTGAATGCTTTCCTGGCAGGATTGAGGTATCTGTAGCAAAGGGCAGAGGGGCTCGATGATGATGCCCAGAGGGTGAAGCAGCACTTGGCTAGACTTAAATATCCCATCCCCAGTGAGACCGGGCTTTTAGCTCCTATTTGTACTAATAAATCTCGGCTGCTGGGGCACAGCAGGAGAGCTAGGAGGGAGGGAGCTGTGAGCAAGGCTGGATGGGCATGTGTCTGAATCCAAACCAGCTGGAGAGGGGAAGCATTTTCCCCCCGGCCCCTCCTCACCAGCCAGACGGGCAGAGCAAGGAGGAATCTGCTCGTGTGGCTCCATCCAGCCTGAAGCAGGGAGACTGGTGAGGTCCTTCCCACTCTGCCACCTCTGCATCCCCCCTGCCTGCCCCTCTGCTGGTTTAAGCTGCTCCTAAAGCAAAGCCTTGGTGGGGGAGGTTTAACTGAAGTGACTTATTTCAGAAATGCACGACTGGGGGAATGATCATTTCCTATTTTTCTCAGCAAAAAGCACAAGCTGAATTCAGGCTTGGATATGCAGAGGGGTTTAGGATCCCCCGACTTCCCTGGGGGAGGCTGGGATGAGCCAGGGGACAGTTTAGCCAGGGCTGCAGGCTGTGCCCGAGGCTGCGGGCTAGGAAGGGACCAAGTCCTAAACCTAAAACCAAATCCCTAAACCCAAAGATGTGCATCCCAATCTGCCTCCTGCATCACTGGCTGCCAACGATGAGAGCGGAGCCGGCATTTAATGGCTGGGAGAGCAGCCGGGGTGTTCCAGCCCGGGTCAGGCAGTGCCAGGAGCTGCACCAGGAGCTGGGACCAGGCACTGGCAGGAGGGACCCGGGGACCCCTCAGGCTGAGGCTGCTTAGGGACAGCAGGGACGACCCTGGAGAGACCAGAGCACCTGGGGGAGGAGGTGGCAGGCAAAAACTCCCCAATCTCTCCCAGCTTTCCTTCTCACTGCCAGCCGGACTGTTATAAAATGTAAATACAGTTGCCATCAATCCAAGACAAGACCCAAACACACAGAGCCTGGGCCAAGCAGCCCCCAAAATTGGGCTGAAGCTTCACTGTTTGTGCAGGAGCTACGCAGCACAGGGACAGTGACGGGAAAGCAGCGCCAGGGGATGGGGACCCTTTTGGCTTGGGCTGGTCTCGGCACTTCCCTGCAGGAAATGCCATCGGAGCTGCCAGCTGCTCGGCTGGGGGTGGCGGGACAGAAACTTTCCCGGAGGTTTTGCTGCCAGGAGGGCGTAGGTTGTGTCTGGCAGAGCACGGGGAGCCCCAGAAAGTCCAGGGCGGGAGGGACTTTCCAGAGGGACTTCATGGCTCTCTTCTACTTCTCCTCCAGCCCTTCCTCTCCCCACAGGTTGGTCCCCAGGGTCGGCAGACCTTGGGACGATGCTTGTGCTGCAGGGACAGGCACACAGCTCTGCTCATGGCACCGAGAAGGGCTGGCTGCTCCCTGGTCCTGTGCCACAGCTGGGGGCTGCAGGTGCTGGGCTGACCTCCCCAAACTCTGTCCACGGGTGCAGGCGGGGTGCTGGCAGCTGCAGCACCCAAGGCATCGCGCCACGCTCTCACCCTGAGGTCCAGTCCACAGGCACCTGGGCACCACAACCCCAGGGCTGGGTTGACCCACCCAGGGCACTCCGTGGCAGCCATATGCCCCCCAAAGTGGAGCATGTCTTCTGCGATCTGCGCCAGCAGCACGAGGAACATCCCACCTGTGGGAGCACTCGGGTCCCAGCGTGTTTCCAACGCCTGCCTCGGTGCCTCCCTCCCAGCGCAGCCCACCCACCAGCCTTTGCTCCTACCTGTGCAGTGCTGCCACGTCCTGCCCCCTCGGATGAAGCCCCCGCTGGTGGCCCAGTGGAAAAGGGTAACCCAGAGCAGCAGCGGAGCTGACATCAGGGGGCTGGCCTCGGGGGGTCCATCCACTGGGACCCCCTTGCCGTCCGCTCCTCCGTGCCCAGGCAGGCAGTGCTCGGCTCAGCCCCCGCCGGGGGCTCTCGCATAGTCTGCCGGTGGGATCACCTCCTCAGGGTCGTGCCACACCAGGCTGCTGCGTCCTTGCTTCTGGGGTGCTAAGCCCTGGCTCTGCTGTCCCCTCGTATGGGCATCAACCTCGAGGGCACAGCAGGGATGGCAGGCGGGGAGCCGGAGGGGGCTCCCCTGGGGCAGCCGTGGAGGCAGTGCCGGCTGCAGCCTGCACGCAGACATTTAAATGAGAAGTCGGTGGTGGGAGAGGAGGAGTCCCAGATCCGTGGAGAGCTTTTATCTTTTGCCCAACCCTCTGGAAGGCAGCTTTGGGGAGGGATTTTTTAATAATTCTTTAAATTTTTTTTTCTTTGCTTCCTTTCATTTTTGGTGATTCATTTTTCCAGGATCACGTGGGAGTAGGTGGGAGATTCACCCCTGCCTGGAGAGACCAAGCTGGGAACCTTCTTGCCCCTAAAAGCCTTGGGCACAGTCCCAGCCTGTACTGCAGAGAGATCCTCTGTCCCTTCCAGTCCATTCCACCCTGCCCCAAAAAAAGCCAGAGCCCACAAGGAGCATATTTTTCCCCGAAAACAGCCTTGGGCAGGTGATGCACAGCCAGTGCCTTGGGCAAGGCTCCAGTCCAAAGGCCAGCCACCAGACCCGGCCCTGTTGCGAGGAGGGCAGCAGCATGCCCAGCGTCGGTTCAGAAACCCTTGAGGTTACGTTGTTCAAACAGGAGAGACAGCAGTGGAAAAAATCCCTGCACACAGCAAGCTCTGCTGGGTTTCTCGAGCCACAAAACGAGTTACTTCCATTCCCCAAACAATTGAAACGGCCTCCCACCCCCACCCCCACTCTGTCCCCAAAGCCTTCCCGCAGGGCGAGCGCTAGAATAGAAATCGGATGGCCAGGACGAAACGCCAACAAATTGTGTCGCAAACTAGGGGTTTTGTCATCAAGGAACAGACAGAGCCGAACCCATGGATGTGCCTTACTGCCAGTCTGTCCACATCCCTTACCAGCCCAAAACCCACCACACTGGGACTGAGAGCCCTGTGGTGGAGCAGAGCACCCCACACCTCAGTCCTAAATCCTGAGGAGCTGCTACCGGAGCCTGGAAACACCCAAACACCATCGGCGACGCTGCCTCAAACAGCACCTGAAGCTTGAAGGGTGGCTGCCTGCGTCTGGGGATGCTCTGTGATAAGTAGGGCTGTGCAGAGCTCCCCCTCCTCACAGAGCCTCTCGCTGGGCATCCCCCGAATTAGGGCTCTACCGGGATCACACTGAAGCGGAGCTTAAGTGGAGCTTAATCTCTCTCTAGAGAGAGCTGCAGAGGCAAGGCACTGCTGGCTCCCCAGGCTGGGGATGGTACCCACCAGCACAGCCACCGCCCAAACCCGGGGGTCCCAACCGGCAGCCACCAGCAGCAATGGATGCAGAAGGTGTCAACCTCCCCATCTCACCTGACTCGTGCTGCTCCCACGGCCTCGGGGCTGGTGGCCAGCACTGGGAGCAGCCATCTTGCCAGGACCCCACGCCACCACCTCTGCTGGGAGGAGCGGCGTGGGTATCCCTGGCCTGTCGGGCAGAGAGGTTGGTGTGTTGGAAGGGGGGCCGGCGCGGAGTGGAATGCGGCTCCTTGGCAAGGCCCTGCCTCCCTGCAGGTTGGCGCTGGGTAAGGCGGCACAAATGAGAATCAGAGCCACTCCATTTCCCAGGGCCGCACACATGTGTCAAGTTAAGCATGGCTTTGGGACCTGGCAGCACTGCCCTGAGCAGGGGACTCGCACAAGCAGACGGATTTTGGGAAGTCTCCCGCTGAGGCCCAGCCTTGGCTCTGCAAGGGTCCGGGCAGCCCGTGCGACTCCTCGCAGGGAGGGAGGAAAAGTCCTGCCGGGAATGCTGGGGCAACTGTTTTTTCCGAAGGGGATGCAGCTGCTTCTGAGCACTTCCTCAGCCAAAAAGCCAGTCAGTGGGGACATCTCCAGACCCAAGGACACAGCCACGGGTGTCACCTACAGAAGCAGGGGGATCTGGGGACTTCTAGGTAGGAAGAAATGAGGCACAGAGGACATGCCAGGCAGTGCTCAGTGCAGCACTGTGGGCTCGGGCTGCTTTTCAGCCATGTGCTGCTCATGAGGACAGGATGTTGATGGTCCTCAAGGATTTCTCCATCCTTGGGCTGGGGATGCTGGCATGGCAGAGGATGGTGCAGTGGCTTGGGCAGTCCCCAGCGCTTTTCTCCCTCCCCAGGACGACCTGCCCAGGATCTGTGATGTGAAACAAGGAGAGGGGGCCATCGCTGCCCACTGTCATGTTCGGTCCAGGACCTGCTCCATGTCGCAATGACAGTAGGAAGCGGTCTGCAAAATTGTTCCTAAGCACACACATGCACATTCCTATGTGCACAAGCAAGCGCAAAAGGATGAAATAAAAGAGACAAACAGCAAGACGTTTGCCTAATTCACATGGGTCGTAAATAAAACCATGTGGCAGCTCTGAACAAAATGATCTTTGGATTTCCACCAAAAAGGTTTGGCCATCTCTGGGTTAGAAAAGGTTGAGAAACCCATCTGTAGACAATATTTCAAGCAGAGCTTCCATGGTCAGTGTGAGGAGGGCACCTAATCAACGCCAGGGACAGGCTGGACCCTGCACACAGGGTTCCTGCTCTTCCAAGACTGTAACTCATTCCTTATTATTTGCAGACACAAAGTCATGTTTTAGGGCTTGTTATGCCCTATTCATTTCAGTCCCTATTCCCGACATCTGCGAGAGCTTTCTCCCTTGAAACACAGCATGCATACAGGCACCGGTCATGGCAAAGCTTTGAGGGACCCGATAGATAATGCACAGAAAAATGCAGCACTGTCTCGTGGGTGTCCCCAGGCCAGGCTCCAGCGGCCAGGGGCAGCACTGCGACCATCCCCTGGCCTAAGCCTGGCCAGCCACCACGCAGGGGTGGCCACACACACGTCCACTGGGATGGAGCTGGAGGTGAGCCATAAGCACATGGTGCTGGTATTGCCTGTGGGAGCTACGGGGTCAGGATCAGCCGTTTGGGGTCAGTCACGAAGGGGATGGGGGAATGTTGAGCTCAGAGCAATGCTCCAGATCGCAGTGCCCCAGATTGCAGTTCAGGCTGGACACTGGGAATGATACCTTCCCTGGGATGGTGGGACAGAGAGGAATGGGGTCTCCATCCTCAGATGCTTCCGAGGCTCCTCCCTTGCCACCTCTGCCCTTTCTCCTAGGCTGAAATTCTCCTTGTGTTTCCTGGAGCAACATAAGCTCCCTGAGTTCAACCCACTGACATAAACTGGAGTCCCAGCAAGAAATCTCTGCACCAGGAACACTGTCAGCCTTGTACAAGAAGTGTAAATGTCTTTTGCCCCATCCCTTCTCAAAAACTTAATTCTCAGAAGTTTTGGAGAGGTTCTGCCAGGAAAAGTTTTGTTGAAGGACTGGGAGGATTGCAAAAGGCACCGTTTTTAGGAAAGCCACCAAAAAAAGCACAAAGCAGCCCCAACGCTGCAAGTCCCGCTGCCAGCTTCCCAGAGCAGAGCTGCCTTGGGGAGCAATCCCTGCCAGGCGGCGGTGAACCACCAGCGTCGCCTGTATCCCAGAGCCCTCTGTGCCTGCCTGTGCACAAACAGCACACCTGCCCAGCACCGACAGCCCCACAGCCCCGCGGAACGAGGCAGCCGGGAGCTGCCGTCCTGACAGGGCCACAGGCAGCAGGCAGGGCTGCAAACCTGCAGCCCAGGTCCCTTCCCAGGCAGCCGTGATTGAGCTGAGCATCCTGCCCTGCATTTGGAGGACACATGGCAGTTGAGCTGCCAGACTTTGAAAGGGCTCCAAAAAGGCAGTCACTTAACTTTCGCCAGTATGAGCAAAAAGACAGGCTTTAGGACTGCGCTTCTGCACCAGAGCTGCTCGGGACGGGGCCAGGCAGCGCCCAGCAGCTGCATCTGCCCTTATTTCTCCCCTGCACGTGACAAACAGCCCTTTACCACTGCCTGTCCCTCAGTGACAATGTGTTTTTTCCATTTTGCCACCACCTGCCAGTGTGCTCAAACCTCTTGCAAGAGGCTGAGCCACCTCCTCACAGCCACAGGACCCCAAACCTTTCTCTACAATCCCCATCAAAGTGGCTCCATATGGATGGAGGGCATCAAACCCAAGCAACCACCAGCATGCAAACTACGGAAGTGGTGCTCCTGGTATTTTCTGTAGTCTACACAGAGGCCAAAGAGTAGCAGGGGTGTTAACATGTCACTTGGCAGTGTTGGAGGAGACCCAGGAGCTCTGCCTGGACTCCCTGCTCCATCTGCAATGTGAAAGCCCTGCTGGACTTTGAGCTCAGCTAAAAGGGAATAAACAGGGCTCTTAAGGGGAAGGAGGTGATGTCCCCATTTCAGGCATACTGCTAGAAAGCCCTCGGGGCACTCATGCCCCCAGCCTGCTCCCAGTTTGCTTCTTCAGCGACAGCACTTGCCTGAAAACCCCAGGGGTTCGCAGCGCAGATGCTTGCAAGTGGAGAAGGGAGAAAGGGAAGGGTTTTGCAAACATCTAAGTCTTCCTCCATCAGGCACAGCAGTTCACCAGGCTGAATATGCAAACCTGAGGGCGTGGGGAACCGTAAGCTTGGCAAAGCAAACCCCATGCCAAGTGCTATATCAAGTGCAGGCTGCCTTGGGGTAACACCTGAGCCCCAGGGCTGGCTCTGGGATGGGGACAGCTGCTCCCCAAGCGGAGAGAAATCTCCCTTGGCAGCCCTGTGGGAAACCCTCTGACTTTGCCTTGTAGCCCCTTGATCGGGGCAGTGACCGCATGCTTCAGCTCGCAGCAGGTGGATGGTGGTAAATGGAAGAAAAAGCCACGGCAGAGAAGCCCAGGGAGATGGGCCCAGGCATGTGAGACTGGCAGGGATATGAAAGGGGATGCACAGCACTGCCTGGACCAGAAATAAGCCCATGGCTGCCTGGTTAGGGCCCAGCCAGCACCTCCTCTCCCAGATGAAGCCCACCTTGGAGCGCCAGGGGCATTAGGGAAAGGTGTGGGCACTGCAAGCCCCTCTGCCAGCCAGAGCTCCCCCAGCACAGGCAGCAAAGCTCCTGCCTGTACTCAGGGCTGGGGCCAGACCCTCATCCCTTCCAGGCTTTGCTACCCAGAACACGAGCAGGCTTGAAGTCCTGCAGCAAAGAAAAGCAGCTTTAGCACCGCTTTGGTTTGCAGCCATATGAAAACCTCTTGCTCCATGACAGAGAATCACAGGCCAATTTTACTGCTTGCCCATATGACAACGTAGACCTTTTATTATTATATTAGTGATGATTCAGGCTCTGGAGGAGCCAGCAGGACCGGGAGGGTAGCGGGCGGCAGCGCGGGCGGCGCGTGAGGCGAGATCCCCGGGTGCCAAGGCAAGAGCGCAGGCAGCCACACTCACTCTGCCCACCCGCCGGCAGCCGACCGTGGCTCCATCTCCTCCGACATCCGGGGAGGGAAGGGAACAAAGGCAGAGAACAATTGCAATTGTTTCCCGAGACTTTCTTTAGGCCAATTCCTCCAGCACGGTGCTGCTGCCCAGCCACTCCGGCTGCGGCACCACAGCCCTGCTGCACTCGCAGCTGTGCAGACGCCGGCAGGGACACAGCCCCTGTCTCCATGCCACTGCCACCCAGCCATCAGGGCCTGGTCCCCACTAGCACGGAGAGAGACAGAGCTGGCAGGGTTACCCACGCTCCGCAGCTCCGGTCCCACTCTGCTCTCCCCCTGCACTGCTGGGCAGCCCCAAGATGACCCACCAAGGCATGATGCCGGCTGCAGGGAAGGGGTGATCATAGTAGTAGGGAAGAATGGAGCTGCCTGTCCCAGGGAAGCCGGCTCGCTCTCCCCTTCACCAGTCCCACACAGTCCATGCCGTGAGGAGAAAAGCCTTCGCTGGCAGTGGGGTCTCCCGCAGCAGGATCCCATGCAAGCAGGACGAGCATCCCCCCAACTGCCCCCTGAGCAGGGCTCTAATTACAGCCCACCTCAGCCCAGCCCAGCGCCGCAGCACCCAGCGATAGCTGCCTTTTGAAGTCCAGGCTTTCAGAAACCACCTCCAGGCTGCTCCTAATTGTACTTTGGTTGGAAAAGACCTTGATAAGTCTCCATGGGTCCCACGGGGGGAGTAGAAAGGTATCTACAGAAGGGTGTCTACAGAAGAAGGTATCAAACGCCTGAGATGGAATTCAACCTAACACGAGTCTGGTTTGACCAGTATTGTAATTAACTGGTAAAATAAATCAGATGCCCCCTGGTTATTGACTGGGTGTTAAAAGGGCAGATGCTCAAGAGCATCAAATCCTAAAAGAGAGGCTGCATGGGGACAGTTTGTACAAGTGGCTTCAGCAGCAGTACAGATGTTTTCATAAAACCGAGCTTCATATAGAGCTCTAAGACCTTAATAAGGTCCTCAAACACAAGCACTCCCACCAAGGCCATGCCTAGGCTCCAAGGCAGATCTTTTGTCAAAGCAGGATCTGGCCAAGGACAAAACTCAACTTTTAATTGCCTCTCCAGGCAAAGAGGATTGAAAACACTTGCCCTCCAGCCTGCCTTTCTGGCATCCCTCCTTCGTCACAAGAACTGGTGAGCAAAGCTGAGCTCCGGCTGAGCAAGGTCCCTCTCGAGCCACCCTTGTAGCAAGCCCACAGACACCAACCAAAAGAATCTCCAACCCCAGAGGCTTCCGACACTGCATCAGAGCAAACTGCCCTGACTTGGTCACTGCCCCATGCTTCACCATCCCTACCTTCCAGAGGGATGAGTGGTGAGGGGAAGCCATGCAAGACATAAAGCCCTGGGGATCAGCTCAGAGATGTAGCCATCTCTCTTGCCCTTCAAACACACCTGCCCCACAAAGCGAGAACCCCCCAGCACCCGATGGCTGCTGGTGACCACGCTCAGAGGGACGACCGACAAGTTGACCAGACTGGCAGAGGAAGACAAGGATGCTGGTGAAACAGCACATCGGGAGAGGGGCCTGCACGAACCTGTCCCAGGCAGACTCAGCAAAGAAACCCTGATTCACCTAACACCATCGTGCCAGCCCCAATTTGGGTTCAATTTGCAAAATTTGTTTTGGTGTGGGAAAAAGTGTTTTGGGGCAAAACTCCCAACCCGGCTGTGGGCGGTGAGCCTCCCCGTGCTGGGCCCAGCATCCAAGCGCGTGGATACTCCCCACCCCCCAGCATGTTGCATCCTGCATCCCTGCTGCTTTGAACCCACCTCCCCCATCACCCTGCAGTCCCCGGAGGGGTGGCTGAGCTCACCTTTGCTCTGCAGACCCACAAGCCCTGCCCCAGGGCACCCACCCTCCTGGCCACCTCCCGCAGCCCCTCTGGCCAGGGTGACCCAGCTTCTTTCAGAGCTGACAGCAGCGCAGAGCCACAGCCTCTCCCTCCAGCACACAGACCTGACACCTGCCTGCATCCCCTGGTTAAACGCATGGAAGTGCCCCTGGAGAGCCCTGCCCTGGCAAGCCGGGCCTGGCTGGTGCCCCATGTATGGAGGAAGGGGACTCGGCTCATCCCCCCTCACACCCTTCAGGAACAACAGCGACATGACTAGACAGACCCACTTGCAAATCGCTCCCCAAGCGCTCACGCTGCTAACACCAGCAGCTACTCTGTAATAACCCACTGTCCGTATCATTACCATTAATTATATATTAACATACCCCATAATCTTTACTGCTGCTAAGTCCCATCTCAGGGGGTGCAAGCCGCTTTCAAAAGCCACCTGGCTGGTTCTTCTTTGGCTCTGACACCACCCACCCCAGAAGGGCCGGTAGCTGAGGCACCGCTGGGATCTGTGAGGATCAGGGCTGGGATGGGCAGGAAGATCACCAGGGCTGGAAAGCACCAATGTCCCTGCTGCCACCAATGTCCCTGAGCATTGAGCACATTATGCAGGCCCACCAAGCGTTAAGCAGCTTGAGCAACTCCCTCCCCAGCATTTGGTTTCATCCCTGCAGCACCACGGAGCCCTGCACGCTGCCTGCCTGACCTGACCATGCTTTTGGTGCACGTGACATCAGGTGGGACCCGGCTGCACGCAAGGTGACGCCGGAAGTACTCTCTGGGGCTGGCCTGGGGCTCGGCCGCCTTGCTGTTCAGGCAGCACGTGGGGAGGGCAGCTTATTCCAACAAGACCCTCAGAGGCTAGAGGAATTCTCCAGATTCCTGCACCTTCCCCTTCCCTGTGCCACCCCAACCATCCCAGTGGCTGGCAGCAGGACCCTTAATGTCTCCCACCTCGCATTCCTCCTAGCCCCTGAGCTTGCTGAAGGGCAGAGTGATTTTATTCTTCCACCGAGTCAGGGAAATCTGAGAGAAAAGGAACATGGAGGCAGGTAACCAGTGCTGCTTCTTGCCCAGGCACCTCGCACAGGGGCAGGGGAAACTGCTGCTTCAAGCCCCTTTTTGGAGCTGCCTCAACTGCTGCGTTCATCCCACATCCAAGACAACCCCAGTATCAGCAGCACAGCTGGCACTGGGGACAGACATTTCGGGTCTGTGCTGGCAGAGGGGGTGTTTTTCCTTTCAATTCTTCTAGGAGTAAAATACATAGCATCCTCACCAAGATACAACTTCAGGAGGAAAGCAAGGATCTTCCAGAGACGCAGAGCCTTCACCATTTCATCTCGAAGGCAGCACACCACCTTCCATTCATCATACAGCTACAGTCAAAAAAAAAAAAAAAAAAGCTGGAAAGCAGCCTGGAGCTGGTTCTGCCCTGAAGGTGCAGCTGTTTCATGTGGCTCCAAGGCCTCTCGCCCAGCAGCCCGCACTTTCAAAGAACCGCTTGCATGCACACAGGCACACAAAACACAATTAATGAATGTCTTGCATCCCACTGTGTGTGTTCTGACACAGCCCCATTTGCCAAGGAAAAAAAGCATGTGTGTGTGGATGTGTGTATACACAAAGGCTTTAAAGAGGACATTGCTTGCATTTTTACATCTTTGTGAAGGGTTTTGTTTGGGTTTTTTTTAATATAAAAGCCTAAAGCAAATATAATCCAGAGAAAGGCGTTTCTTTAATATTTTACCTGCATGTACAACACCTGTAGAGCTCTGACACTCCCCAAGGAACATGTTTTATAGTAACTGTTTCAGACTGAAAAAAGGCAACTGCTCAGAACACTGCTACTGACTAGTGTTACACAGGCTGCCAACACAAGTATTCTTTCACAAAGGGAGAGGACTAAGCCTTTCAGGGAAGTCTATCACAGGATGGACACAGCAGCTTTACAAGCTTTAACCCTCTGGTGCTCCCCAGTTGCAATAAGCTGCCTGCGCAGTGAAACCCTACTCCACATGAGCGTGGAGCTGTGCGAGACCAGCCCTGTGTGTGCGCGGGGATTCAGTTTGTTACAGAACGATGATGATGAGCTTTTATTTCTTTCCTGCACATAAAACAAACCGGGAATCTAACACACCAACTGCAGTGCCTTTCTTTGTTTATGCCTTTCAATGAACACAAATGCTTTCTGCATGTTTCAGCTTAGCAAAGTGCTGTTGCTAGGACTTCTCACCTCCACAAGGCAAGCTTTAGTCCTCTGAGGTGGACTTCTGCTTACATTTTGTCACCTGCAAGACTGCTTGATATGTTCAATGGGTGGCTTAAAACACCCGAGTTCACAAGCCTGCTACATGCCAGTCACTTAAAAAGAAATTACTTTATTTCTAAGCAAGAGATTTGGGGACTATGGAAATTTTCAGTAGGAATTAGACATCTAACTATCCTTCTCAAATCCAAGAGCTAGTATCAGCAGATTCTGAATGACATTTTAAAACTCACAATTCACCTGTTGCCATAACAACATATCCTAGGCCAGATGAATGGATATAACAAGACCTTTGTAAGAAGTAAACTGCATGACATCTGCCAGCTGTCAGATTAGTACAGTTTTCTTTGAATTATCAAGTCATTGTTATCACTAGAGACAAGACATTTGCCTGGAAAGCCCAAGCAACCATGTCAACTCTTCCACACCTCTAAATCATCCCTTGTGTTTTAACTGCAGTAGAATAAACCCTTCCACTCCTTTGGACCAAGTAAGAATTGGACCAGTTGGTTACCCATATAAAAACACCCACTTCAATACATTTGCATTCACCAATGAAAGGAGAAAATATAATCACTTTATTTTCAGGATACAGACTAGATCCACCATAAAATAAAGATAATGAGTGAGCACACATGAATAAAATACTCCGCACTTTAAAAAAGCCCACTTTTGCTATGTCTGCTGAATCCACCATTTGCCATGTGGTGCTCACAGCTCTCCAGCGTTGTTTCCAAAAGTGGCTGCAGTACTCCCAGGAGCAATGCTCCATCTACTACAGTTCAAAAAAATGCTCCCAATTTGCATAGAAGTGCTACATTTTCCTGTATGCCTTGAAATACTAGTTAGGTACAACACTATTTCATCATCTCTGCTCCCAAACTATGTCAGGTCCCCCTCCCACCCTTAGACCAAGGCAAGATTATTTCTACAAGGAGGTAAAATTAGCAAGTTGTAGCAATACAAATTCTTCGGAGGTGCAGAATGATGGCATACTGCAATCTGCAGCACGTGAATATGCAGCACAGACAGCAAGACATAAATACTGACGAGTTGTACACACGCGCATGCACACAATCACCTCTGTAAAGCTTTCCCCAAGGTGCGACTCTTTCCATGTCACACGCTTTTCACAGAAAAATAAAAAGCCCTTCTCAAATTTAGCCCGTAAAGCTGCCAACAAAATTTGATTCCATGTGCTATCAATGGGCATGTTATTGCTTGTGGTAAATTGGAGAAGATTTGGACCTACACAAGAGATTTGCTTGCAAAGCACAAAGGTCACCAGTGGCCCCTAAGGAGTTTTGCAAACTGATTGTTGCAGCTGGTATTTCCCACACCCTCCACACCAGCAATCGGCTACAATGCTCTGCAGTTCTAAACCTGCATCGTACCATCCTCTAGAAAAACAGCCAGCATCTTCTCTGACTTAAATACACAAAAGTAGTAAAAGAAGTATTACAGTTAATTTTACAAAAGTCGTCATGTCCACCTTTGCTCGTTCACATGAAAAACGGGTGAGCTGGACTGTAACGGCAAAGGCCAGCAGTGCCTAATCCTCTGCACACCCAAATGTCAACAGAAGAGGAGCTGACATTACTACAGAGATATTTTACATGCCCAGAGGAGCAGACACATCCTCACTGGATTTTCAGGCTGCCAATGAACTACCTTGCCCATGGTGAACCTTACCAAAGTGTTTAAGAACCCGGTCTTTATATCCTGCATCTCTAATTGAATGTAAAATTTACAACTGTCTCCAAAGAGTAATAAAGCAGTTCTTGGAATTTCTTCCAAGCAAACACTGACTCAAAGGCTCAACACAAATTCACAGTGCTACATGGGAACAGCCAGTCACTGGCAACAACTCCCCAGGTCTTATCATAAAGTTATGTGCTGCACAATCACTTTCTCTGCTAACACATCCTGACTATAACCTTATTTTGTAGCCTCTCTTGCTAATGATACTCTTCAGTTCTGTCTGCAAATGTTGTCCTTAACTTGGCGAGTATCATAAAACTGATAGATTATTTCCTGTCTACTGGTGCTTCAGATGCAATGCTACCTATAAAAACATACAACTAATTCTTCCGGCAGGTGATCCACATCAGCTCTGTTCTCAAACAACAGATCGGTGAAGGTGAGCTGCTGATTGCAAAGTCTCCAAGCTTTTCATACCATGAAGTGAGGTAGCAAGAAGCAGCCTTTGAAACAGCATTGTCTCCATATTTTTCCTTAGTTTTAAATCCTTTTTCCACAAAATTTAGTGAATGAACTAGAGGCTTCTCTGGAGCAGTGGAAGAAGAAAAGAGATGGTAAATAAATAACAAATGATAAGAACTAGTTTTGCAAAGTATTCCTTTTTGGTACCAGCACTGAGCACTGCTCATTTTCAGGTGGAGAGAAATACAAAACACTTCAGTCTCTTTGTGAGCTTAAAGTCCAAGTGACTTCTGCACAATCTGCTTGGCAATTTTGTTAAATTGTTCTCTGTCTTCCCGCCACATCTTGGAGGCATCTACATTGGCTCCGCTTTCATCATTTGGCTCTGAAACGAGAAAGACTGAAAGATAGGTGGGCAGGTGGGCAATGGAGCAAGACCCTCAATAATGCCTCTGTACTGCCACTTCCTCATGGCTTTGGCACACTTCCCCCGCTTGGGACTACAGAAACACTACTAAAGAAAATCCAGTCACAGCTCCTGGACTCCCAAACAGTTCTGATTTAACTGATCACAAGAGAATATCACAGCAAGGACGAGTTTTGGTAAGAAACAAGTGGCAGAAAAGCAAGACTTTCTTTTGTTTATGTTCTCAGCAGTGGAGCCCCAGCGTGCACATGGAACAACACAATGTGGCACCACCAGCGCCATCAAGGGTTTTTAAAACTGCACAAACTGCACACTGCTCCCCACAAAATGTTTGCTCTGGTTCCGCGGCTTCACAGACAGAAAGCCCTCCCCCGACCAGGCCACCCAAACAGGCTCTGTCACTTTGGGATGGCTTGTTCTATTAAAAAAACAACAAAACAAACCAAGAAAACCCATAGAGTGCTTTCATTTCTACAACATCTTTCATCTGAGGATTTCAGAGCACTTTACAAAGTACATTAAACCCCTATGACTCCAACACTTCATTCTGTACAGAGGTAAGATGGAACATGGGATTTATCAGGTTCGTGGTCAGCACACAGGGGGGCAACTGTCAGGGGGATTACACAAGTCACTAAAACAGAATGTACTTTACCGATTTTGCTTCACACACTAGTCCAAATCCACTCCAGCCCAGTTCATGGCAGACATCTTGGGCTCATGTCTTTCTTGACACTGTGCTGATGGTCTGCCCTTAAAAGCCAGTAGATGTGTATGTCACACAATTTGGTAAGCTTGGGCTTACACTGTCTGCAGAGCCAGCGTAGAGGGTTTGCCAGCAGCCTGGAAGGAGCTGACCAACTGATGTCTAATGACTAATTCCTCCAAAAGTCATGGGAGAACAGGACACACAGGCAGAGAACAAGAGGTGACTCCCACATTAACCAGTCTAGGTAAGGCTGCATCACAAAACAAGTTCTTGGAGGCCACGAGGAGCCCAGCGAGGTGCTGTTTGTCGGCACAGCTTCCCAACAGCAGGTTACTATGCTGAAGCTAAAATGGTCCCATATAAGAATCTGTTGCTTGCTCTTTGATCAACTTTGTTGCTTCTAACCCCTCTAAACTGTCTAAAATCTTTTACCATTCAAAACCAATTCTAAGGGACATGGCTCTGCCCTTTTCAGGCAGTTCAGTGGCTCTGTCCACTATGTGGAAAAGGATCCATCTTTCAGGGAGCTGGATGTGACAGAACTGATCCACAGCCCCTGCTGGATTTCAAAAAAGCCTTTTAAAAGGCCACACAAAAAATTTTTCACCCACCTCTCTTCTCAAGAAGCCTTCCTCTGAACCAGAGATGCAGAATGGGGTGCAGACCCAGGCTGGCAAATAACAAACAGAAATGGAGGGTGCTGGCTTGCAAATCACAGAGGCCATGGAATCCAGTTTATCATACTGGTTAGATCTGGCTCATAACCCTTCAGCTGCTAAAGCCAAATCCAACACAGGCTGTAATCAATAGCTTTAAGACCTTCAAGAACTGAACAGACATCACAGCAAATACAAAGACAGAGCCCAGGTTTTGTGCAGGAGCAGGGAACCTGCTGAGCCTCTGGACCCACCTGGCCATCACCAACTGCTTGGTGCTGCTGACCTGGAAGGAAAGCAGTGTGATCGCTTGCAAAGCTGGAAACACCTGTTTACTAATTCAGTCTTACTTTTTTCAATTATTTTCAGAGAACTGGTTTACCAATCAATAAATACTAGGGCTTTAAGAACTGTGATTGCTGCTGAGCAGCTTTTAATGTCCCTTGCTCACTAATAAGCCAAACAGCAGGAAGCAGCTCTAGCTAATTCAGTAACTGCTAATCTAAGCCTCTGTTAACAAAACAGCAGTCCTTACCTGCCAGCATGCTAACAACTGACAAGAGGATCTTTTCCACACTCTGCACAGGACTCCACCGCTCAGCGCTGCTCTCGTATCCCATGGGATCATCCCCAGGAGCGTGAAGAATAGAGATGCAAACTCTCCCATCTGGGTAAACTGCACAAGAAGTATAGGGGATTGATTGTTACTCAGTGGAAACACTTGGCCTCTCCAGATCTTTAGAAAAGATCAGCATTTGGACTTGGCTTTTGTAGGACTGAAGCTAAACCCAGTTTTAAATTTCCTCTTCCAAAGGCAAGAGCACATAAAATCTGAAAGACAAAAATCTACCAAAAATTTCCTTTAAGCAAACATAAGAAACTTGGGTTATCCTTCCCTAACAGAAGCCTGCTGAGAGCACTCATGTCATTTAATAACCAGTGACAGGCTCCATGAAAAAGATAAGAGATGCAGCCAGGTGGAACCAGGCAAGTATTTATGCATAGACACAGCTCCAGGTAGGTAACCAGTCCTACTTAAATTGAAGGGTTACAGTCACACAGCACTGAATGCATGTTGGAGTCTTCTGCTGGACTGTGACCATAAAAAGAATTAAGCAAACTTGCTCTGCTGCAGCCAGAAGGGAAAAGAGGTATGTTATAAACAATATAATTGATCTTATTTTGAATATTACTGAAGTACAACTAGAAGAGTTCACACTACTTTTTAAAATTCTGCTTAAAGCTCAGCTGCATTAAAGCACATAGAAAGAAGGTAACTTATCAATTAAGGATACAGATGTCTTCCCCTCCCACCTTTAGTGTAAGCAAAGTGCTTCTTTCCCACAGCAAAGCATCTGCAACACTACAAGTCATCTTCACAGATGTGTGACTCCACTGATTTGATAAGGAGGCCAAAGAAAGGTTGAGGAGGCAACACAAAGAGAACAGAGTTTGAAACACTGCTTTAGCAACACGACCTAATTCCGCAGCCCCCCAAGGAATGACAACTTTAGTCCAGTACTTTCAGTGCTTCTATTCCTCCGGTGAACAAACCTCTGCCATTGCCAGGAAAACAAGGCAAAACAAAAATAGGGAATAACTGCTGGGAGGAGTCGTGCTCATTTCCAGTTCTTTCCACTCACCTAGCTAATGTCTGCACAAGCCTACAACACATAAGTGCTTTGAAAGACTTTTATTTAAATCCCCCCTGTGCAGCCCGAGGCTGGGGACGGGAGCTGGTCTAGCCATAGCTGGAAGAGACGAAAACAGTGTGTGCTGAACCAGCACTTCTCCCTGCAAGTTAGGAACAACTGGGAGAAGGTATTTCACTTGTGAGTTATTCTAGTGTTTCTATGCAGTGACTCATTTAGAACAACTAGACCACAGAGCAGCACAGTCAAGAGAGCAAAAGCTGATTCCAGGAAGGTGTATGCATCTTCCACTTTGTCACTAAGTACTAATCCAAGACTTGTCGCTTTTTTGAAGTTATCTTTGCCAGACTGTCCATGAATGTAATTTTATTTTAAAAAACAGTTCTGTGGTATCCCAATTTGTCCTGTACATTACACAAACTGCAAAGATAAGGGAACACAGCAGACTTTTTAAACACTTTCCTGCAACTCTTCACAGGTGGAGGAGTAAGCACTTAAGGAACACAAAAAGCATAGCACAGCCACCATTTCTACAGCCTTTCTGAGTACAACCAGACCATCACAATCCCACCTGAGAAGATTGAAGTGTTTACTTCAAGTGATCTCAAATTTAAATTAACATGACCCAAAGTCACAGGACTTTAAAGGGTTGACCTGACTATCCAGGATGTTTGTTAACCCCATGGAGGAAGTGATTACATGTAGGGCCACACATGAGAGTCAGGTGGTTTGCACCCCTGACTTCTCTGCACCCCATTCCTCCTGACTATGCTCATGTAAAGCAGCTGTGAGCAGTGAACCTCAAGACAAGGCCACAATTGGATCTGCAGAGTATTGCGTGGACATGGATTTGCTCATGGAGACCAGTCCTGGCAAGAAGCCTGGGTGAATTAGTTCAGCTGGAGCAAGGTGCCAACATGGCCACACAGCTTCCAGGTGCCAAATGCTGCATTGCTGCAGACATCAGAGCTTCAGAGGTGATGCTACACTGCCTTGGGCATGTCCACACAGTTCTACACCATGACATGCAGGCGTATCTTCCATAGGAGAACAGAATCTGGGCAAGAATCTGCATCAGTGGTGCTCTGAGAACAGAAGAACGTCAATAAACTGCAAAATTCCTTGGAATAGGATGAAATAAATCAACTCCCAGCTGAGATTGAGATTTGTGTTATGCAAGCAGAGGAACATCAGCTGGGGAGGAAAGGAAACACTAGGCAGGAGGACAGCATTTTCCTTTTATTGCTCTCAAGTGGCAGAGACCTAATAGCCTTGAATACAGATCCAGCCCATCAAATCTGGGTGGTGATAAACAGTGTTTGCACAATCCATGTTGATTTAGCAGATGTCATAAGCAACAATTTTACAAAGAATGCCAGAAAGTAATGCTCCAGGCTGCAAAAGAGTGCTTTAAGGTTTTTACCTGTCCAAGGCTCAAACCTGTTAGCTGTACTTGTTACTTCAGTTACCTCCACTGAAAAGTCTTAAGATATTATCTTAAACATCAGAATTTGCAGAGAAAAGGCCATCAAAGCCTTAATATTAATGCCTGCAAATGTGTCATCAGCTTGGACAGAGCACTCTGTATTTCAGAAAGGTCACGTCAGAAATATTACTAAACCTGTGTCTTAATGGGGAAAGAGCCATGTTGCCTAAAAAAGCTGTATCCGCGCTTCGGTGAATATGAACAAATTTTCACTCGTTAAAATAACAACAAACTACTTAAATACAAGCCATAGAGTAAGACTGGAAAGCGTCTGTATTAATTCACTAAATCATACATCATGTACAGAAGATTTATCTTTAAACTATTTATACACTAGTTACAAGTATTCCTGGAATGATCTGAAAGGCAGGAGAATTGTTGGAATCTTTACTGGACTGTTTATGACCAAAAGGTATATGACGAATAATGTGATAAAGTGACGGTAAGACAGAGCAAAATTGCTGGACAGCTGAACACTCCTGCTGCACGCTCAAGGTTGGAAAGGGAGAGAACCAGCTTTGGTAAGGATGCCAGCTCTCCTGCTGCAAAAGTGGTTTTATGGCACACAAGTAACCCACTCCCCTGTACGTCCTCCTGCATCAGACTCACTGTTTGGATGGAACATCTCACAGGTGAACCTCATCTTCGGAGGACTTAACGGATAGTCGAGTGGAAAGCTCAGAATGGCAGGGAAAACCCCATACTCGAAACAGGTGTCTTCAGGACCCCTAGGAACAGATAAAAAGCTATTCACCAGAGTTTTAAACAGTACTTTTCACCTGATATTCTTGTCTAACGAGACATTTGAGGTTTGGGTTATACCATCTCCAGAAAACAAAGAGTTAACACACTCTCACCCCACACCTCATAAACTTAAATACAAATACGGGGTTTGGGAGGGAAGGGGGAAATCAAAGCTTGCACACTAAATTACTAGGAAGGTCACAACACTGTTTAATTAGCAGGGTGTGTCTGGATATAATTGGAGTATCTGGCTCCAAGGCATGTTCCAGGATTTGAGCATCTGCACGTCAAGAGAAAGCAGAGGCAGGTGTGGGACTCTGTGCCTTTGAAGATACTGTTATGCTGTACAAGACAGAGATGTCAAATGCCGTAGCTCAAAAATAATTGACAAAACCTATGGAGATCCAAACTGCCAGTATCGAGCATAACCACACATAAATACTTATCACTATCTGATGCAAAAAACACTGCCGTGTTTTGTAAAAAATAAAAACACAGCTCAGGGACCATAATTGCTAGATGTAGGACAACAATGTTTCTTTGCAGACTTAAGTTACTTAGTTTGCATTCCCCTCAAGTGCACAGGGAAAACAAATGGCTTCATCAGGATTCTTGTAGAAACATTTCCTCATTGTGTTCATCATCTAGTTCAAAGTGCAGTCACGTTGAGAATATAAAGACAACTATTTTACTCTCCCTACATAAAATATTTTTGGAAGGTGAGCAAAAAAGTTTATTAGACATGATTTATTCAAACTTGATGAACCATCTGGAAGTTATAACACAAACATGATCTCCCTTGATTGGAAAGACCATGAAACAAGCTTCATCACTGAAAATCTTAGCCAAGGAAACCTCATGTATTTAGTAAAAAGCTCTTCAAACAAGGGCTATAATGTCTGGGAAATAAGGTTTAGAATATGTTCATGCTTCCTCCTCCCAATCCACATTCTCTGTGCCAGAAAGAACACAAAAGTTCAAGGACTCCTAAAAGTTAAAGTTGCAATTGGTAACCCAGAGAAAAAGAAAACTGAGACCAGCAAAACCTAAAGCCCTAGGAGGCTCACACTCTTAACTTTGGAATTCAAAAGACTTGGCTGGTAGATAAACACAAGAACTATGTGATTTAAACCTGAATATTGACACTGGCAGGTAGAACTAGAGAAATGCAGCAACATACATTGGGAATGAAAGCTAAACCATCTCAACCATTTTCTTCCCTTTCTGGCCTTTTCCCTAAATTTAGTTGGGATTCAGTTCACATCTGACAGTAAACTGAATGCATTTTTTCATGAACATTTTAATTCCAGCTGCATTTTAAAGGCTTATTGTTGAACTTCTAAGAATATGTACATACACGCATTGAAAAGCTGGTGGGTGTCTTCTGTTTTGAGAGCAAACACGCTGCCTTAAGGGCTCTTCTGTCAAATGTTAACCCTACATGCTCCATTTTAGGCCCTGTATTATGTGAACAAAATGCTTATGTCGTAGCCATTCAGTGCTGCCAGGATCAACTTCAAAGAAATTATTAAAGTTAATCCAAGACAGCATTTGCAACTACAAAACACTCAGGGAGGCTGCAATATTTAAACCCGACAGCATCACTTTCAGTTCAAAAAAGGACATCGGCAGGGCCAGAGAGGTAAAGAGCACAGTTGCTTTTGAAATCTTTGCAGAGCAGGTGATGATTGCAAAGTATATCCCATTCAAAGCCTCCGTGCTTTATGCTATGATCTCGTCCCAACTGCTAAGCTTGTCAGAGTCATCCAGACTACCTAGTACTTGATTAGGGTTCCTCCAAGAAACAGCCAGACCATGCAGTGCTGACACCCGTCCCACTGAGCAAAGAGCACCAAGCCAAGGGGCCAGCTGCCTTAAGCAGCTCCCATACCCCAGGGAAGACAAAGTGCTGGCCATCACTACCCGTGTGCATACAGAAGGTACAGGCTTCAGGCACAGAACTCCAGGAAATACCTCGTCTTAAACCTGCTCCATCTAATATTCTTCACAGCCTGCAAAGCAGACAGCCTCTGCATCTTTTTCCGCACATGATGTTACTCTACAGCCTTCCCTAAAGCATTGAGGAGCAGACATGAGTTCTCCTCTGGCCATTAGACAGCATTAAATGACTTGCTAGACAACCAGACTGCTTAGCTCTGAGAGAGATGTTATGAACAACCTTGTTGACCTAAGCATGAAAACAAGAAACACTGAACTCCCTGACCTGGCCATTACCCAGGCAAGGGAAAGAAAAGGATGGTGGGTACCTGCCAAAACAGGAGGGAAAAGCGCATTGACAAGGACAATTCTACAATCAGAGCTTCACATACAATTGTAAATGGCTTCTTATTTGGAAAAAGATGCTGAAAAAAGACAAAAAGCTACAGTCATCAGATGCTGTAAAGGGGAATTCCATAGTAAACAAAAGTCCTAAGCCTAATTATAGATCTAATTACCTTTCTAGACAGGTTTTTGATAAGTTGACTTCAATTTACGCTGTTTAGTTTTCAAGAAATCTTTAGTTCTTAACAATTATGTGGTTTTGTGTTTTTTGGGGATAAACTTTAATAGCACACACTCGCATATGCCAACCAAAGAGGGCAAAACTTGGTCTTGAAACATAAATCCATGAACTTGAACAACACAACGCAGCCCGTTGGACCTCACGCAGTGCTAAGGAATTGAGCAGCATTATAGTAAACTCTCTTAACCTGCTGGGGCTATTTATCATCACAAATAAAGTCACTCTGTTGCAAAAACTTGGCTTTCATAAATGCTCTAATTCAGCTACTGTTTGATGTCTCATCAAAAGAGTGCATTTTACATCAGGCTCCAAAACTGTTCAGAAAGATTACTACATTATATTTTCAGTTCTGGATCCATTATGCTCACTTGGGAGCATAAGAACTGTTCTACCTTTCAGCCATGGTAGAACAACCTTAACATCTCTATGTTTAATATTTATCCAGCACTGCCGCTGCAGACAAGAAAACCAGAAATGCAAATTATTACCACCATTATTTTACCTGTGAGCTAAGGTCTTAGGTCAATCTGTGTAACATTAGCCAGCCCACCTCTGAATTGATAAATAGGTGATGTCTTTTCTCTCTCAGGTCTCACTTTTTTTATTTATTTGCCATTATATGTGCTCCAGCTTCATATAAACTGGGTGAAGGGGAAAAAAAACCCCAGTATTCTATTCTCCATTATTACACTGCTTACTTACCTTTTCACTGCATCTATCTAAAAATCTGAAGCCAACTTTAATTTCCTCACCTGCACTTTTCATTCCCATAATCTCACACAGCACATTTGAGATTACAAAACATTCAAGAAGATTATCAGAGACAAATATAAACAAATCATTTAGCTTGCTTTCCAAACGTGCACAAATACTTCTACTAATAGAGTTTTCTACAGAGATGAAAGTAACCAAACACGTTTAGGGTAAACATGTTTCTATTGTACCACAGCTTCAGAATTTAGCAGATCTTAAAATATAATTTTATTATGACACACACACAATACAGAAACCAAAATTAAAGCACCTCCGCCTCTCATTTTGCGCTGACAAAGACCTGAAGCTCAACACTCAGCACTTTCAACGGCTTTCAAGTCTGCAAGCGGCTCCTCTGTTGTTTAAGAATTTGTTATAGGAAACATCAGAAAAAGTATTTTCTAGGTAATCAATCAAATCCAAAAGTACTTCTGTGTGTCCCCCATGAAAGCTCTGCTCAACCACAAAAATCTCTGCTACAACAAAGTACCGATAGGCAGGAATTCCCTTCAAGACTTCAAGAAGTGCACTAAATCCTCTGGGATTTCTACCCTCCATGTAACACACAGCTGTCTGGACTGAAATTTGGTACATTACAAAATACATGTTTCAGAACAGTGCTAACTATCCCACTTGCAGAAAGAAAGTGTACGACAGTGAAACCAAAATCTTTGGTGTCAGGCAACAAATTACCTATTTCCATGCTAAGTGTTTATTTTCAGGGGACTGAGCTATTAGGAGGTACAACCTGTTTATTACAGGATAAATTGCTGCACATAAGCAGAGGCATTTGCCAACTCTTCATATCAATCAGCGGTAATCCAGATCTCCAGTTACCAAGGCCTAAAATAACTCAGAGGCTCACTCTTGCCATAAAATAGGATCACCCACGCAGCCAGCTTGTGTGGAATAGGTGATGTGCTACAGCTTGGGATGCTTTTGTATTGGTTGCGTGCCTGATCCCAAGAAATCTAGGGATGAAAAACAACTCACTCAAAGCAAACCGAGCTGGGAAAATTCTGCCACCCATGCTAGTTCAGAATCTCGTAAGTCAGCACTGGTGGTTGCAGTGAGAACCTGCCAAGAGCACAGCAGGCACGCTGCAAGCGGGGCCACAGCCACTGCCTGCTGCCCTCGTGTCCTCCCAGAACCCCTGGCCCTGGCTGAAGGAAAAGAAATCACCAACTCTTACTAAAAGAATCTTGAAATATGGAGCCTGGATCTACCCTAACAACACACCTGGATCTACCCTAACAACAGACCATCAGCTTCAAGACAGACTTAGCAGTTTGGAGCTTTTTCATCTTTTAATTCTGTAGCATTTGTATAAATTGTCAGACCCGAGTGATAAAGGTCTCTTTTTCTCTCCCCTACCATTTTAGAACTTTATTTTTTAAAAAATCACCAGTTATTCCATACACTCAAAGTTCCCAAAGAAGGGTACAGCGTAAGTAAGAGTACAAGCAAGAGAGAAGATGACTTGTAGGATGCTGGACAAGAAGATTTTGTCTTTTCATGGCAAGTTTTGCTATGAACTGTACCCATCAGTTCAGAAGCAGTAGGGAGAGGACACAGCTTTGTAAAGAAGTCTTTGTTACTCCCCAAAACACAACAGGTCATAATCAGAGCTATTCACCAACAGAAGAGCTTTTCACACAGAACCACTGCACCCAATGCCTTTACAACACCAGCCAACTCACGAAGTGCAAAGAATTTCAAAAGTTGGGGTTTTTTTGTAATTTGAATATTCTCTCAGATAAATCCAGTTTTCTGGAAAAAATGAAATAGTAAGTAAACTAATTTTACACATTGCTTTTTTTTTTCCTCCTATCACCAATAATCTGTGCATTTTGCTACTCCTAAAAATGAGAAAAACCTGTCCTGTATTTGCAGTTGACTAATGTTCCCAACAGGTCCGTGTGATCTATAAGCAAATCATTGTTTCCTACTGTGTTTGTATATACAACATATATCCAAGGGAGCTCAAATGTGGATTCCTGTCAAATCTGCAATATGCTGAGTGTTGCTTATTATAATGACTCCTGTACAATAAATGTTCACTTAAGCTCCAACACTGCCTCTGTCACGCTGTTTAAATTTCAAATATAATTCCCTGTTTGGGTCAGAAAATAAACTCTTATGCAGAACTGATATTATTTTTTTACATTCTTGTTCTCCTAGAAGTTAATCCTAGTGTGCATGTGCTGATTTCAGATATTAGTATTAACTTACATAATCAGAGCTTCCCATTCAAAGAAGTTCTCTTCATTCATGGGACCTGTTAAGAAAAAAACAAAACAATGCTCAGCACTACCTGAACACAAGGCTACAGCTTCACAGTACACAAACCCCATTCAGCTCCTCACCTGCTACGATCCCTTCTGGTGGGTTCAGGGTCAGCTCTGTAAAAAGAAAAATACAAGGCAAGTTAACATGACCTGCAGAACCAAGTATCTCAGCTAGTGTTTGGGTGGCCACAGCTTAGCACAGAGGTCCCACCAGCAAACGTGCTTGGAGAAAAGCTTGAGAAAACCATGGGAAGAATCTTCTGGCCATGTTTTACCAGGCAAAATTCCACATCCAGAAGGCTCAGTATCTCACTGCTGACAATTGAACTTCTTCATGCAAGACAGCTTTCTAGACAAGATTATTTGACATTTTGTGCTTTTCCAGGCTCCCAACACTAGTCTTTCCAGAGGCAACAATTTAAAACTGAGAAGGAACCAAAAACCCTCCACAAAGCATGGAAACACTTGGAGCAATGTGGTATCTGCAGGTACAAACTCAAGAGCCTGAAAACAGGTTGTATTCCCATAATATCTCTGCACCAATTCATGCTTGACAACATCTCAATACAAAACCCAAAACGATGCAAAAAACTGGGGAAGCAGAAGCAAGAAAGATTTGACAAGCAGCTCTGTTCCTCAAATTCAATCCAACTCCCTCTGCGCAGCCTGGAAAACGCAAGTAAAAAAAGAAGCAGTGATAAATCACCCGTGGCTGCACATGGCAAATTTGGATCCATCAACCCTCACTTCCTGTAGGAAACTGGTACAACTCCCAATTTGCTCAAGAACCCTCAGCATCAGTACCCCGTTTCAAGCCTGCAGAAGCCCAGCATTCTGTGCGCTGATAAAATAATCAGTTTTTCTACTATCTAGTGCAAGGACCAAGTTTCTGAAGTCCTGCAGGGTGGTAGCAGCTGGCAAGGCAAAGTTTAGGCATGCACAGGCAACCAGTGAAGCTTGGAGGGCTGAACACCAGCCCCACAGCTCCAAGTGAGACACAGGGCAGGTGGTGGTGATGCTCCGAAGGTGTCAGACCAGAGGAGGTGACAGTAATTAGGCCAACTTAAGTAAGGGCTCTGAGCTGCTTATCTAGAAGCACTGTTGCCTAGCCAATGGCCTGTGGACTACTAGTGGCCTGTACCATGTAAAATGCTGCCAGAAGAAGCACCACACACATTCCCACACATGAAGACAAGCAGGAATGCAGAACTGGGGAACATGGGAAGTCAAAAACCAAAAAATGAGACACGTGACCTAATTTCTCTTAGGCTATATGTGAAAATTGTGAGAGAACTGCATAAAACAGCACACAGATTTTTGTCTTAAGTTTCCACTGGATTAAAAAACATGCTGAGATACTCCAACAGGAAAGATAAAGCTGTTCTGTTCACTCAGATTGCCATTAACTTTGGCACAGAGCTCTCTGATTGAAGTTCAAAAGCACAGCAGCAGATTGAAACTCAGCGTTATGGCTTCCCACAATGTCCTGATGTTAAGGAGCAGGTTTTTCCAGCTTGATAGTGGGTCTCTAACAGCTTTTCTTGTTGATGTTTTCAGACAGAAAGAGGGAGATGTCAAACCCAGGAGCTTTTGGAATCATTTTGCTCCATCTTGTGGTGCTCTCTAGGAAGAAAATCCCTCTGATAGTTCCCATCACTTCCTTTGAGAAGCCTTGCAGCCTTTGTGACTGCCTGGTTGCAGCATCAGCGTGTCCCCTGCAGCAGCCAGCCAGGCAGGTGTGCTGTACAGCTCCCCACCTGCAAGGACAACCAGGGCAACAAGAAGCGAGAGCTAAACCCTGTCTTTACAAGGATGGAGGTTCAGTTCTCCACCTTACTCAGCTCTCCCCTCAGAGATAGACAAAAGAGGTTTCCATCCTTAAGGATCAGGCAAAGTGGTAACTGGGCAGTGCAGGGGCACATGAGCTTTGATTTTAAGTGGCTACACCTGGTCACTGAGGAAGGAGATCCCCCTTTTCCACGTGCATGGTCACATCCTACCCTGTGATTCCCTAGAGCCATTCAAAAGGAAATTGGGAGCACAGCTTTTGGGAGCTGCACTGAACAAATTGCCAGTAGCAGACATAGCAGCAGATGGTTCAGTCTTACCAGAGCCTCCAAAACAGGGTCACTATAATGGAGTGTCAGGGGGGATTTTTTCCAATTCTTTTTAAGTGAGCAGTAAAAAGCACATGATCAGAGCATGTTTTGACCATTCACCACAGAATGACTTTGACAAGTCAGCTAGGCCAAACAGCCTCCAACCCCACTCTCCTCTGCCATCCTGTCCCTCCATGGCTGCTCTCCAAAGCAAATCACATGGCAGGACACAGCAGAAGATGAAAGGGCCCACCCTCTGCTCTCCATGGCATGGCACCCAGCCTGGTGATAACTTCTGCTTGACTGAGTTTGGCCTCCTGTCTTGCAAGACATCCCCCCACTTTAAACATGCATGGTTTAAAGCTTTCCCAAGAAGAGTTCTCCCCCTCTGCAAGTGCCACACCATGCTGTCCTCTCACCTGTCACCATGACAGCAGAGTGCCAGCACATGCCCCAGCCACCAGCACCCAGCACCCTCAAACACTGATGCGCAGTTGCTGATCCTGTGTGCACTATTTCTTAGTGTCAACAAGGAGCTGAGCCCTCTGCTGAGCATGGACAGCATCCAATGCGAGGCGTTGGTGGGCAAAACACAGACCCTGATGCCACACCAGCTACTTGAGAGAGGCAGCTTGCACAAATTGAGAGCCACCTCCCTCAATCCCCTTTCTCCAAGGAGCAAAATCAGCACCAAGACTTTGCAGGAGCCCTCAGTGCAGCAGCCCATGGCTGACTGATGACTGTGGGCCCAGGAAAAAAAGTCTCTGAGCAGTGGAACCTCAGGATCCATGGGACAACTGAGGTGGAAGCAGAGCAATCAGATGCAGAGGGGCTCTCCTGGTGTGCTGGCACCACAACTCCATCACCTTCACCCGGGGCTGTGGGACCCCACACCTGTACCGGAACACAGCCCCTGTTCTGCAGAGCATCTGGACTTTGCCCCGTTGCCAGCAGGTAGGCAACCTCTTTGGGGAAGGCAGAGCCAGGCCATCTTCCTGTGTTGGTATTTTACATGGTGCTAACTACCAGAGCTGTCATCAGCAGGATAAAGCAGTCTCCCAACGTGTCCATGGAGTACCCTATGGTCAAGCAAGCCTACAGGGCTCCTATAAGGAACAAATGCATGAGTAACGCATCCTATTCAGGGATTCCAAGAGGTGTAAGGACAAGCAGTTGGCGTGGAAAAAGGATAAACCAGAAAGCCAGAAAATGAATCTGTTTTGAAAGAGGTAAAAGGGAAGGTCAGGAAAAGTCTCTGTGGAAAACAAAGGCATGGCAGAGTCACGAGGAGAAGCTGAGGCTGGCAGCTGCTGCTGGAAGGGAAGGTTGTGGTGATGTATAGGCACCAAGTCACCTATACATCACCACAACCACTTCAGGGTGCCCCAGGGTTCTGGGAGGGTTGTGGGGAGCTCTCTACTCAGGCACGTGTGTTGGGTGTAGCCCATCACCCGATTCAGCCCAATGTCTCTCTTCAGCACTGGAAAGCATTGGGAGCAGTTCTCATCTTCCCATCCTCCATGAGGCATCCTGTTTGGTTTGCAGGATGGCTTTGCTTCACACAGTCAGGGGATTTGCTTCCAAATCAAAACGCAGTGAAGTCTCAGCGTCTAGCACCACAGCTAAGCCTTATTTTAAAGCTTTGCTTGTAAGCTGAGACTGAATAAAACAGAGCTAAGCCCAGTGATGTGCAATACTTCTATGAGGAACTTGGGGCAGATTTGGGTGCACACACAATCAATGTGTCCCTTTGCATTTCACTGCTCATTATGGAGTCATTACAGACCAATTACATCTTGGCCAAAAGGAGGAGGACTAAAAACACACCTTCTTTTTAAAGCAGTTAATAAAAAGACTGATCCCATTCTTAAGTGAGAAATTGATCAGTATGCTTGCTAAAAACTGTATCAATTTAGCATATCTCCAAGGTGATAAAATGCACAAGACTCAGGAAATGTTAAAGGCATCTGACAGCATCTGGACTGAGATGTCTGAAACCAGAATCATCTTCTTTCCGCTCTGCCTGAAATTCCATTTTCTTCTCTCTTCTCTGATGTAGCATCTGATTGGCATAAGGCAGTTTGAACTCACATGGACACACGGCACAGCGTGTGTCTGAGAGATTTCCTAAGTGTTATGTTTAGGAAAGCACATTTTCAAAGCTGGTTTAACAGGGACAGCTGCAGAGGCCTACTACAAACATGCGTCCCTCTCTTCCCCCCCACCCCCTCGGAGAAAGCAGCTCATCACATCCCACACTGCTGCAGTGGCAGTTTTCCTCCAGCTTCACACAAACTCTCTCCATGGACAGGAAGCACAGCCAGATTCTTTTCTGTGCAACAAAGGTGTATTTTTTCTGAAAATTCTGAAATCTCAGAATTAATGTAAATCTCATATCTTTAACCCGACAGCACTTCCAATGATACCTGTTGGCATTACAATCCACTCCTCTATTGCCTGTTTATAGCAGAAAGGAAATACAGGGCATAACAGAACTTGGCCCTACAATTCTTGCATCTCTACAGATTTGACTTAATACTTTCAAAGTAGCCCATTTTAGATTTATAAAATTCAGCAACAAGACACCTTCAAGATTATGGGGCCAGGAACAAAAAGGTTTCCATCTCTTAACTCTCATAAACCTAAGCTGCTATTGAGCGACTACTTTCAGGCTTTAATACTATTCTAAATCTAGAATTATCAACAAACATATGCTCTAACAGAAACGATGCCTTTCTTTGTATCTGATTTTTTGGAAAGCTTTATCTAAATTAGTTCTGGTAGAGTAGAAAAAAGTCTTGACACTCTAAACCAGCAAACAAAGACCTAAATGAAGACAAAAAATAATCCATCTCATCTGGCTGTCCACAGTCACCTTCCCTTTCTTCTCCACAAGGAAGGTAAAACAGTGCAATTTTCCAGCCTCTCCCAAAATGGAATAATGTCCTTGGGTTCCAACAGGTAGAAACTCCTCACAACGTTAAGCATTTTTCACATAAGGTAACAATAAACCTTTATTTAGAGATTTAAACACAGACATACAGAGAGAAAATCAAAGACCAAAACTAAAAAAATAAAGCAAGTAAGGAAAGAATTAGAAGTCTGGTAAACAAAACACATCCACGAGAAAGGCAGTGACTGTCAAACATCACAACTAGAAGTAACTAAAGACAGAAGAAGGAGATAAATTAAGAAAAAGAAAATGTATGCACAAATATACACATAGATATATACAACATTTCATCCAAGGTGGGCAGCCAGGAGGAAGGGGTCATTTAAAGTTGTCTCCCCATCCCCATCCACTCAGGGCCACGCAGGGCTTACGGCCAGCACTGGGAACATACACTGGAAACACACGTTGTCAGGAGGGAGCTGAAAGATCACACAAAACTGAACATCAGACTGCAGCCTTGTGCCCTGACAGGACTTCCTCTCTTCCTGCAGAAAGAGGCAGCAGAGCTACCTAAAACTGGAACTATTATTATTATTTCAGAATAGCTTTTGCTGAAAATTTTTACAGGGCAAAACAGCTTCTGAAGAGCTACAACTGCCCAGTCGACTGTGAAACCCTAGGGAAGGGTTATCATACAGGATCAATTCTGGGTTTTGCAGCAAAGTTTGATGAGAGCACATGCTGAAGGAAAGCAACAACCCTGGAAATGCGCAGCATGATCCAGGCGGCCACAGAAACCAAAAAGTTTGGCTTACTCTACTTCTGTAATTCAGGTCTCCGGATGTCAAAGCACTGTACACTCAGTCACTGCAGACTACATTCATGTCTTACAACACTATGCTTTATTAGAGGCGGGAAAGTATTTATAAAGGAAGATCACAAACAAGATGTTATTTCAGTTCATATTAAACGCTACCCTGGGAAACCATGTGGAGAAGATTCACGTAATATCTGCCTGTAGCATTGTCAAATTCTTTTTGATGCTATTTAATAACACTTTTTCCTACAGAATTTATTCATACAAGACATTCTAACAAGACTCCTGAGCTTCTCAACAAGCATCAAAAATGCTTTTGGGGATTTATGCAAAAGAACAGGTAAAAGCAGTCTTTTTGCAGATGTCTTTCAGGTCAGTGATTCTGGATTACAACAGAAAAATGCAGATTTCTAGGACACCCTGCCAGCACAAGCGTTACCCACACAACCGCACTGGCGGGCTTGCTCACCACCCCAAGCAGCTACTGGCAGCAGCCCGAGTGGTGGTGAGGCACAGCCCCGGCCCTCACAAACACCTGTGTGATGGTTCAGTTTAGAGACCTGTGCTCTGCAGAGCAGCCTGAGAATAAACACGGTATTGGCAGGAAGCATGTGTCTATAAATACTCTATTTTTTTATAGGCTGAAGTCTTTCACTAAATGATGGTTAAGTGAGAAACAACAACTCAGCCCTGGACAAGCTCAGGAGCTCTGTAAATGACCATCACTGGGGCAGGCCAGTTCTTACAGTCTAACGCCATCTTTCCCCTAGCAAAGACTTTTTTACTCCATTCTACTTCCTTGCCTTAAATAAAAGCCAGAACATCAGAGACCAAAAGCAACTAGGTAAAAAAACAACCAAACAAACAGTATTTCTTGCTAAAAAAAGGCACCTTTAGACACCTCTCAAGCTCACCAGTAAGCAGCTCACCTGCTCCAGGAGAAGAGGGATGTCCCATAGAGACCCAGCCTGCAGCAGGTTCCTGTACCCTACGGTGGGACCAGAGAACACCACTTGCAACCCCCTGCAAGTCACATCTCACGCAGATTTTTAAACAGTCTGCGTTGTGGATGACTAAATTCGAGTTTAAATGCCGTTACTAACCACCGCGCTTCCACCAAGGTCTTGACAAATACCTCTAATTATCTTTGAGGTAACAAAGCTTTGCAACACAGGCTTCTGTGGCTGCATTTTGTTCCACCTGGAAAATCTAACTAGGAAAAAAATAAAAATTGGCCATTTGCCCTGGATTCACAGGCCTTCCCTATGACTAAGCTCCCCACGCCACGGACTCCCAGACGTGTCAATCGCGCACAAACCGCCGGGGCTCGCAGGCAGGCTCGGTGCGAAGGGAGAACAACCTCGCGAGGGAAGCGGTGGCATCCACGACTCCCCTCTTCCACAGCTGCACTTCAAAGACCGCGGTGCCCCCTGACCCCCCCCGTCCCGGATGTCTCTGAATGGACGCGGGGAGAACTCTACAAGGCCGAGCGCAGCGGAGCAGCCGCCGGGGGCTGGGAACCCGAGGCCGGCGGCGCACAGGGAGGCGCCCCGGG